TTCGGGTAAACATTTGCATTCACCATCATAGCATTCAGCGTTTGGACCGCATGGTGATGGATTGCAGGGGTCAATTTCGCTATAAACTTCTGCAAACATAGCAAAATACAAGGAATTGTAATTTTTATTTATTCACAATACTTTTCAATTACTAAATCTAAAAGTTTCATTCCGGGCCAAATGTAAAATAATATATCACTTATGATCATTTTCAACAACATATTTGTTTTTGAATCTTACAGACTTGATTTTAAATGATGAATGAAGAATAAATTTAAATGAAGATCAATGAAAATTAAAACCCATATATTCTAAATTTTAAAATAAGGGATTAATTTTATTACCATCTTGCTGTATATTAAAAACACATTTTACGAATGGATCTCCGGTATGCTGTTCGAGGCAACTGCATTGAGCGATATGGTTGAAAACATTGCATTGCGCATTCAACCCACAAGCGCCAGGGCAGGGATCGCGACATTTTTCATTGATGCAAGCTTGATTGCTAGGACATTCAGAGTTCAGCGTGCATTCTGGTCTGCAATTCGGTGGACTACCAGCATAGCCCGATTTGCAAGCGCAAGATGGCGCATCGCCTATGTTACGGCATTCCGCATAAACACCACAGGGCGACGGTAAGCACGGGTCCGGGCTTAGCAAATTTGGTGGCGGCAGGGAAACTAAAATTGCAAATTTATTATGAACTACATAAATTCTACTTATACAAATACATTGATTACTGAATATTTCTTGCATTAATTTTTCTTACTTTTTATCGGATAGCATTTGGTGAAGGGATTTCCTGTTAGTCCTTGTTTGCATACGCAAATTGGACTATGGTTGATAACATTACAATTAGCGTTTTCACCGCAGCTGCCAATGCAAGGGTCTGAACATTTCTGATTTAAGCAAGCCAAATTAGCTGCACATTCTGAACTCACAACGCATTCCGGCCGACAGTTCGGAGGTGATCCTACAAAGTTTAATAAGCAAGAGCATACTGCTTGCCCATTTATTTCCTTACACTGACTATTAGCTCCACATGGTGATGGATTACACGGATCTTGTCGTATATCAGCTGAAACGTGTATTAATAAGCATATAAGTATTGCTGTTTTAAAGAATTTAATTATTATTTAAGTTAAAAATCAAATATTTAATATACTCACGTTCTTCCATTATCACGCAATGACTGAATGGATTCCCCGTATAACCGGATTGACATATGCAGTTAGGTAAATGATTATTCACCTGACATAGTGCATTAGACCCACATGTGCCTGGGCAAGGATCAACGCACTTCATTCTAGTACACGCTTTGTTTAATGGACAATCGGTGTTTACTACGCATTCGGGGCGACATGACTCGTATGGATTTCCGGAATAACCATCCATACAAGAACAAGCACCGACACCATTCTTTTCTTTGCAGATTGCATTTGAGCCACAAGGACTGGGACTGCATGGATTTAAAATTTCAGCCAGTTCAGTGTTAGTCAATAGACTACAGTATGAAAATGGATCACCAGTATAGCCAGATTGACATATACACATTGGAGAATGGCTAACCACTCTACATTCTGCATTAGACCCGCAACTGCCGATACATGGATCTTTGCATTTCTGATTTACACATGCTAAATGATTATCACATTCACTATTGCTAATGCATTCGGGTCGACAGTTGGGTGTGGACCCTTTGTAGCCTGGTAGACAAGCGCAAATTGGACTGTTAGCGCTAATTTTACAAATTGAATGAGGTCCACACGGAGAAGGGTCACAAGGGTCCACTCGGGGCGCCATTTCAACTGTAAAATTAGGACAAATTATCGTTTGGACATTTTTTAATCAATCATGGGTTTACTTAAGTGATTCGACAACCATTTGAATTGAAACTTACCTATTAAAGAACATTGAATGAATGGATCGCCTGTAAACGAAGTCGGGCACGTACATATCGGATTGTGATTAATAACGTCACAGATAGCTGCAACTCCACATGCACCAATACAGGGATTCACACATTTTTGGTTGTTGCATGCTTCCTTCAATGAACATTCCAGGCTCACCACGCATTCTGGTCTACACGTTGGTGGACTACCTTTAAAGCCTGGTATACAAGAGCATACCGCTTGTCCATTTGTTTGATGACATTGACTGTTTGGTCCACATGGCGATGGATTGCATGGATTTAGAGGAACAGCTGCAATGAAAAAATAACGCACTGAGTAACTTACATAGTTAAATAACGTAGCTTTAGCGTAAGGCTATTGATACATAGTTAATGTGAACAATAAAGTGTTAAGTAGATAAACTGTCATATGTACAACAGTATTTACCTAGAGAAGGTCTACATTCTACAAAAGCATTTCCACTCATTCCCTTTGGACATGAACACATTGGAATGTGATTTATCACATCACATATCGCGTTTCTGCCACATGTGTCGATGCAAGGATTGACACACTTATTTCGTTGACAACCTTTATCATGTGAACAATCAGTGTTATAAACACATTCAGGTCGACAGCCGATGTATGGATCTCCGTGGTAACCTTCTTCACAAAAGCAATTACCATCTCTACACACTGTATTTGAACCACATGGACTTGGTTGGCACGGATCTCGTACAAAAGATGGAGTAGTATCTAGAATAAATAATCTTCAATAAATATTCAATAACGCATGATAATCTTATTTTGCATCAAATTCGTCATATTAATACGAAAACTTTATAATTGAATAAAAGTAATACAAAACAAGCAAATTGACAGAAATAAAACAAATTAAATGCCAGTAATAAAATGTAGTAAATTGCGCTTCTGAAATGTATGTTAAACGCTTTTAGTGTAAAAAAATAAATATATTACAGCTGAAATACCTTCAAGGGGTTTCAGTTGGCATTCTCTAAATGGATCACCCATAAAACCATCAGGACACAAACATACTGGAATATGATTGTTCACGAAACAATTTGCGAATAATCCACATGAGCCTTCACATGGATCTCTGCATTTTTCTGCGACGCAAGCTAAATTACTAGAACAGTCCGAGTGAACTACGCATTCTGGTTTACAGTAAGGTGGGGATCCAGTATATGTTGGTAAGCAAGAACAAGATGGAAATCCATTATTGTTTCTACACTCTGCATAAAGACCACACGGAGATGGCAAACATGGGTCTGTTGGGGCCGCTACGCTTGGATACGTTTCTAAATAAAGAGAAAACATTGTTAATTGTTAATATAACAAAATCACCTGCAACTTCTGATTATTACTGAAATTATTATTGTTATAAAATAATAATTAATAACAATCGCATGTTTGTTTTGTGTTATTTTAAAGTAATAGTTAATCCTAGACGATTAAAGATTTTTTTTATTAACATTACTCATCTTGTATACACTAACCATATAAGCCACAAATGTCATTCACTCAAGAGCGATAGTTGTTATTTACCTGGTTTTCTTAATAAAACAAAATATGTAGGAATCTAATTATATTATATACTTACGTAGTACTAAATTGCAAATTGTGAATGGATCTCCGGAATATCCTCTTCGACAAGAACATACAGGGCTATGATTAATGACTTTACATTCCGTGTTTTGACCACATGGAGTTGGACAAGGGTTCACGCATTTATGATTTATGCAAGCTTTATTAGATTTACAATCTGAATTCACCATACATTCTGGCTTGCAATTTGGTGGGGACCCCATATAATTAGCCATGCACGAACAAACAGGTTGACCATTTACATTTCTACAGATGGCGCTTGTTCCACATGGAGATGGATTGCACACATCTGTGGTCAAGATATCTTTTTCTGAAATCGTAAGCAAAAAAAAATAAGTAAAATCACCGAAGTTATATGTTACGAATTAAAAGGTGTTACAAAGATATAAGTGAACTTACCGGGTGTGGGTGAACACAAAGAAAGAGGGTTACCGGTATATCCTGACTTACAGTTACATAAAGGCTTGTGATTTGTAACGTAACAGTCCGCGTTCTGTCCACATACTCCAGGACAAGGATCCGTACATTTATTTCTATTGCAAGCTCTTGCCAAGGGACAGTCTGAATCCGCCAAACATTCAGGTCTGCATCCTTGATATGGGTCACCGAAATAATCTGGTAAACAACTGCACGATCCAGCCTTGTCCTGCACTTTACACTCTGCATTTGGACCACAAGGTGAAGGTTCGCATGGATTTAAGTACTCATTCTTTGGCAGCGCTGAAATATTGTTCCACAAACATAAATTGACTTACCTATTAATTGTATCTATCACCGTAGAAGCACCTTCTTGGTCCGAAGCGTTAGTTGAAGCTATCCGGGCTCGATGACGTTTAGTGAACTCTCTAATCCGGCGACGGGGTCGCTTCCTTTAGCCGCACCGTCAAAAAGCGGCCGTTACAGCGAACGGTCCAAGCTAACTGTAAGTGCTGTGTTATCTCCGCGTGCTCCGATCATAAGCAAAGGCATTAATTTCACATATATAGTTATTATAATTATTGTTACGTCCCTTCTGAAAGCATTTAAAGATCTAGATGATTAAAATGACTTCTCACCGTCCTGATCCGAAGGCCTTGTTTTAATATTTAAGCGCATGAGAACAGAAACTGTAGCAGTATTAACACCCATACGAACTGAGCAGCAGGCATGGTTACCACTCGGCTCCAAAATGTAAACACTAATACAGTACTATTCTTTGACATTAGTAAATTGTGTGAGGTGTGACTTCATTTGTTTTTCTCGAGAGAAGCACATATCTTAAGCATGATAAATCACGCTTGGCTAAGCAAGGGGTTAAATGCATAATATTTCAATGAATATTGTTTCTTTTTTATGTTAAAACTTTTTGTTACAGAATTATTATAGTTACGTTACCTCAGATCTTACTTAAAAATATTCACATCGAAATAAAATATGTGCTATTTATTGTACCACTAAAATTGTATATTTGTGTAAAATACAATATTAATAATATGCTAATCATCTTTTTTCGTTACCTTTTGGTTGTGAACATCCCTGGAATGGATTTCCCTCCAAACCGGGTTCGCAGGCGCAAGTTGCACGATGGTCAATCACGGTGCAGATAGCGTGTACACCACATGCTTGAAGGCATGGATCCTTGCATCGTTGTGCAACGCAAGCTAATGCAGCTGGACATTCAGCACTGATAGTGCACTCTGGTCGACAGTTTGGTGGTGATCCAATGAAATGAGGCTGACAACTACATGCTGGCGTATCCGCATTACTCAAACAAATTGAATTGGGCCCACATGGTGATGGTTGACAAGGGTCAATAGGCGCTGGAGGTTGAGCTAAAAATATGTAATTTTAATCTCAATATCCACTTTTTATATATATGTGCCAGAAATGTGGGAATAATAATATCAATCACTTACAAGGTGCAGGATAGCAATAAGTGAAGGGGTCTCCTGTATATTCATCGTTGCAGGTACATATTGGCGAATGTGCGATTACTTGGCAACGCGCTCCCCTACCGCAGGCACCCTCACAAGGATCGCGGCAACGACGGTCGATGCAAGCTAACTGCAGCTTACAATCAGAGCTCACGAGGCATTCTGGTCGGCACGATGGAGGGGAACCAACATGACCAGCGCGGCAAGAACATGCCGCAACACCGTTTGCGCTTACTGTACACTCGCTGTAGGGGCCACATGGTGATGGGGAGCAGGGTGTTGCTACAATTAAAATAATTCGTTTGCACAGTTTTTACTTCATATATAAGTATATATATTATATTTCAGATCAATGATAACAATTAAATTTTATTTTTACCTGGGGGTGCGATCTCAGTGCAGAATGAGAATGGATCGCCCGACATACTTGGCGGACATGAACATGACGGTATATGGTTGTTCACAGAACACACTGCATTAGTTCCACATGCACCGGGACAAGGGTCTACGCACTTGCCTCCTTGGCACGAGCGAGTAGGAGAACATTCACCGTTAGTACTACATTCAAGTCTACAGCCTTGATATGGGTCACCAAAATATCCAGGAGCACATGTGCAAATTCCCTCATCACACATAGCATTGCTTCCACACGGTGACGGATTACAAGGATTGGGTGATGGCACGTCCTCAACTAAAAATAAAACAGAACAGTAAATAATAAAAAAACCGGAAATTGTTTACTTAAATTTTAAGAAAAATATACAAATAAGTTTTAACCCTAATGAAGTACACATAGCCAAAGGCTTAACCAGCCTAAAGGTAAATAAACTTGTAAGACTTTAGAGCAGTCCATTGAGATCTAGTCCACTAGGCCATTACTGCCCAGAAAATGATGAATTCCAATTTTTAGATAATTTTTTTTTATATACAAACAAAATCTTCAAAGACAATTATAGATCCTGGATAGTTTACGGCTTATCAAAGATGTAACATTAGCTTTAGCTTTATAAGTTTTAACGATAAGGAAATATGTCCATTCTTACCTTTCTCTTCAGAACATTGAATGAAAGGATCGCCCGAAAAGCCGGTAGGGCAACTGCATATTGGTATATGGTCTTGAACTCGGCATTCTGCTCGATAGCCACATGAACCTTCACATGGATTAGTGCATTTTTCTGCTATACATGACAGATGCGACGGACAATCAGTATTTACTAGGCATTCTGGATGACAGTTTGGTGGGGCGCCTAAATAACCAAACATACACGAGCATGAAGGTTGTCCATTTATTGGTCGACACTCGCTGTAAGGCCCACAAATGTTTGTTTTACACGGCTGTTCATTTGTTTCTGTGACACTTTTCTGTATTTCAAGACATTTGCTAAATGGATCACCACTTGTGCCTGCTGGGCAGCTACAAAGTGGACTATGATTTATAACTTGACAGTGGGCTCCTATACCGCATGTTCCTCTACATGGATCAGCACATTTAAGCTTATGACATGCGCGATCTGATGGACATTCGCTGCTTACAGTGCATTCAGGACGACAATCCGGTGGAGCTCCTCTATAATCGGGAAGGCATTCGCAGGAAGCAAGATCTCCGTTTTCCCTACATATACTGTTAGGCCCACACGGAGATGGATCACATGGTCGAATTTCATCTGGAGGTTTCTGTGGACTGCACTGTACGAATGGGTTGCCTGCATAACCCTTCATGCACGCACAGGACGGAACGTGATTTATTACAGCGCATTCAGCATTGGCTCCACAAATACCAGGGCAAGGATCAGCACATTTATTTTTGATACATGATTTATCAGCTGAACAGTCAGAACTAAGTACGCACTCAGGCCTGCATCCATCGTATGGGTTACCGTAAAATCCTTCCAAACAGGAACATGCTCCAGCATTATCCCTTTGACTGCAAATTGCATTTGCTCCGCATGGTGACGGATCGCACGGTTTTTCTACAATATCTGAAATGGAAATAAAAAATCAATATCTGTGATATAAAGAAACTTTTAATACTATTTTAATACAGAAACATGTTTAATAAAGTAAAATGTTTTACCGTTTTGGGGTACACACTGTAAGAAAGGATTTCCTGTGTACTTTTCTCTGCATGTGCACGAAACTGTATGGCTCACTATAATACAGTCTGCATCAATGCCACATGAACCCGGGCACGGATCGATACATTTATTTCTGACACAAGCTTGATTAGACGGGCAATCTGGATTAATAACACATTCGGGCCTACAGTTTGGAGGTTGTCCGAGGTAGTCACCTGCACAGGTACAATGTGGCTTTCCATTGCGCTCAATGCATAAAGAGTTCGGTCCACATGGGGAAGGATTGCACGCGTCTATCGGATTTGCTTTTATAATTTCATCGTAACAACTTTTAAATGGATCTCCTGTTTGTCCTGGATTACAGCTACAAATGGGACTGTGATTGATAACTTCACAACGGGCTGATATGCCGCATGCGTTAATACACGGGTTAATACATTTTTGATTAACACAGGCTTTCGTTGCGGGACATTCGGAACTTACAACACACTCTGGCCTACAAGCTGGGGGAGATCCTTGAAAGCCTTCGACACAAGCACATACCGCCGTGTTATCATTTATTCTGCAAATACTGTTTGGACCACAAGGAGATGGCTGGCATGGATTTTGATCATGTTCTATAACAATTACTGGTTGACAGTGAGTGAATGGATTTCCAGTATGTCCACTGATACAGGAACAGGTTGGTATATGATTTATTACGTCACATTTTGCATTTTGTCCACAGACACCCGGGCAAGGATCCCTGCATTTATTCCTAAAGCATGCTTTATCTCTAGGGCACTCTTGACTTCCAGTACACTCCGGTCGACATGATTCATATGGATTACCACTATAATCTTGAATACAAGTACAGAATCCGTTATCACATTGGGCATTAGGGCCACATGGGGATGGATTACAAGGATCTGTGGGGCTGGTTGTTGTTGGTGCTGGAATTAAAAAATTATAATAATTAAAATTAAAAGTGAACATTATCTTTTTTCTACATTATATTATGATAAAACTATACCTTCGATAATATGTGTACATCTTGTGAATGGGTCGCCTGTGTATCCTTCATTACAAACACACACAGCTACATGATTTAAAACGTGACAGTTAGCTTCGACTCCACATGAACCTGGACAAGGATCTTCACATTTTTGTCGTAAACATGCTAATGATGCCGGGCATTCCGAGTTAATGGTACATTCAGGACGACAGGATGGTGGGGAGCCCACATAACCAGGTAAGCAAGAACATGCCGGCCCACTTGCAAGTAATTGACAACGAGAGTGCGGTCCACATGGCGATGGAGTACATGATGGCCTTTCAGTAGTAGGTGGAATATCTGAAATAATCACATAATCATACGTTACACAAGCTTATAATTATATTAACGTTCAATAAATTCATCACATCCCTTCTTTTTGTTTTTACTTACTGTAGCAAACTGTAAACGGATCTCCGGTCATGCCTGTTGGGCACGTGCAAATAGGATTATGATTTTTTACTAGGCAGTGTGCTTTAAGGCCACATGTATTTGGGCAAGGATCGTCACATTTTTGATTAATGCAAGCTTTGGATGTATCACACTCACTATTCACTACACATTGTGGCCTACATGACGGTGGCGATCCAATATAATTAGGCAGGCATGAACAAACTGCTTGCATATTGACTTGTCTACATTGACTGTTTGGACCACAAGGAGTGGGTTCACACGGATTCAGTGGTGGAGCTGAAAAAAGATTTATTTTTATAACCAAGGATGCTAGCTAATATGAATTTGTTTACAATATATTTTAAATGCATGTAATGCATATTTTAACTGTTACTACTCACGCTCAGTCACTACTCTTAGGCAACGGAAGAATGGATCTCCGGTATGATCAGTTGGACAAGTGCAAACAGGAACGTGATTTTCAACTGTACATTCAGCCAACTGCCCGCATGTTTTTGGACAAGGGTCGATACATTTAAATCTCGTGCAAGCTAAGTTTAACGGACAGTCATCATTGATTTCACACTCTCTTCGACATCCAGATGGGCTGTATGGATCGCCTTCATATCCTTCAGAGCAGAAACAGGCTCCAGCTTCATTGTGTTCGCGACATTCAGCATTAGGACCACAAGGAGAAGGGGTGCATGGACTTGACCTTTCAGTTGCTAAAATAAAAAAAAATTATTACATTTAATAACAAAATATTATTAATATTTTCGTTTACTTCTACTACTAATTATATTTCCTTTATTTAAAGCACCTACTTGGAATGATCATTTGAACACAAGTGCCGATAGCGTCTCCGGTATATCCATGTTGACAGCTGCAGATTGGTTTATGATTAACCGTTAAACACATAGCATTCAAGCCACAAGCTCCCTGACATGGGTCCTTACACCGCTCATTGATACAAGCCGCGTTGCTGGGGCATTCTGCATCAATAGTGCACTCAGGTCTACAATTTGGTACTCTTCCTATATAGTTTGGTAAACAAGAACAAGCTGCCTGGTCGCTAATTACTCGACACTCGGAGTTTGGCCCACACGGTGATGGTACGCATGGATTGACGTGATTAATTTGTCCTAAAACGAATAGAACAGTAATATTAGCCAAACTTATAACCTTATCGCAGAAATATTACATTTTTACATATACTACTACTTAGTCTTTACAATATGTATATTCTCAAAGAATTATTCAAGGATTTATTCATATTTTATGTAACGAATCACTTAAGTGCATAAGGGTTTTTTCCAATTAAAAATATATTAATTCCGTGTTTGAGTAACATTAAAAAATACATTGAACTTACTTGGTTCTTCGATACATTCAGTAAATGGATCTCCAGTATAGCCGGTTATACAACTGCAAATTGGATTATGCGTAATAACTTGGCACCGAGCATTTAATCCACATGTATTGGGACAAGGATCAGAACACTTTTTATTAACACAAGCTTTGTCTTGTGGACATTCGGAACTAACGATACACTCTGGCCGGCATGAAGGTGGTGTTCCGATATACCCGTTTTCACATGTACAAACACTGTGACCGTTAACAGCGCGACATAAGCTATTGGGTCCGCAAGGCGAAGGTTGACATGGATCTGTTTGAGGTATATCAAAGTCTGCAGAAAAATACACACACTTTTAGGTAAATATAGATGAAGGTAGCTAAACTCATTAAAGTTCTAAAGAGAAGCAGATGCTTATATTTTAATGAAGCCTTCACTTACTTTCCACATCGCATTTAATTAACGGGTTGCCGGTATATCCCGTGAGACATGTACAAGTAGGAGAATGGTTTACAGTTCGGCATTCAGCGTTTATTCCGCATGTTCCAGGACACGGATCTTTACACCTATTGTTTGTGCAAGCCTTATTGCGGTCGCAATCAGAATTTGACACGCATTCGGGACGGCATCCTGTGTATGGGTCTCCAAAATATTCAGGTAGACATGAACATGCGCCAATCCCGTTTCTTTCTTTGCATATGGCATTTGCACCACAGGGTGAGGGATTACAGGGATTTGGAGGAGGTTCGGAAGTACCTGTGAAGTATGGTTTTGTGAAACTTCTTATAATTTAATTTCAACAATTACCAGAAAGAATGAGCCAACAGATTGGACAGACTTTGTGATTTATTTTTCACCAATGCTGTTTTAAAATATCTAATTTTTTGTAGTTTCAATGATATATTTACGAGTACGTGCACATTGCTTATATTGAGTAAGAAATGTTGTTCTCATCCTCTCTGACATTCTTTTGTATCATTTTTAAAACTCACGTTCAATAATGGAGCATCCACTAAATGGATCACCTGTGTGTCCAGATATACAATTACACAAGGCAACATGGTTTGCAACAGAACATTCAGCATTGAAACCGCAAGAGCCAGGACATGGATCTACACATTTCTCATTTTGACATGCAAGATTACCAGGGCATTCCGCATTTATGGAACATTCAGGTCTACAATTTGGTGCAATACCAACATAATTCGGTAAGCATGAACATGCAGGCGCTTCGCCGACTACTTTACATTGAGAGTATGGACCACATGGAGAAGGTACACAAGGATTTCCTTTAGGTCCCGTAAAGATAGGTTCTAAGAAAAAGAAAATACATTAGAAATATAGCAGAGACTGAAAGAATAAAAGAAAAAGATTTCATAGATTGAGACATAAAAATGAATTTCATGCATATTCTGATTTAAAAAAAAATCACAAATAAATTTCATTATATTTATTATTTCTCGCTTACTTTTCTCTAACTGACAAGTTACGAAGGGATCACCAGTGAATCCTGCTTTACAAGTACATATAGGATTATGATTTATAACTTGACAACGAGCATTGACTCCGCATGTCCCTGGACACGGATCCTTGCATTTTTGTTGCATACATGCTTGATGCTGGGGACAATCTGTACTTATGACGCATTCTGGTCGACAAGTTGGTGGCGAGCCTACATAACCTTGTTGACATGAGCATACTCCGTGATTATCTATTACTTTACAAAGACTATATGGGCCACAAGGTGAAGGTGTACAAGGGTTTTCGTCCGCTAGAGTAGCTAAAAATAATAAACCATAATAAGAAATATTAATCAATTAATTTACCCGATATTTAAAAAAGTAGAAATGTACTAACGACTTCTTTGTGGGTGACACGATACTACAGGATTTCCTTCAAAACCGTCAATGCAAAGACAAACAGGTGTATGGTGAGCTACTTTACAGTGTGCATTGATTCCGCATGCTTCTTGACAAGGGTCTACGCATTTATTATTTGAGCATGCTTTATTTAGCGGACAATCGTTGTTTGTTACACATTCTGGGCGGCATCCTAAATACGGATCTCCGAAATAGCCTGGCAGGCAAGTACACGATCCTGCAGAATTCTTTTCCTTGCATATTGCATTTGGTCCACATGGAGAAGGATTACATGGATTTGTTTCATCGTCACTCGTCACTGTGACTAAATAAAGAGATTAATCAAAATTTTTCATTCTCATTAAAATTATTTTAATTTAAAAAAACAACCCACCTATAAAGTAACAGCCATTAAATGGATCGCCTGTATAACTTTCACGACAGTGACAAACTGCTTTATGAGAAATAACAACACATTCAGCATTCGACCCACATGAACCTTCACATGGGCTCATGCATTTTTCTCGAATGCAAGCAAGATTGCTTGGACATTCGTCGTCATAAATGCATTCCGGGCGACAATTAGGGGCCCTGCCTATGAAACCAGTTAAACAAGAGCATGCTGGAGTTTCCCCTACTATACGGCATTGTGAATTTGGTCCGCAAGGAGATGGTATGCAAGGATTGCCCGAAGGTTTCGTTTCCGGTCCTAAAATTTAAAGTGAATTTAGCTATTTTACTTGTTTTTAGGCATTTTAGCTGGCATTAAGTAAAAGCTATGTTATAAAATGTATAAAGCTATGTTATAAATCTATGTTATAAATTTAGTATTTTAATGGCGAAAACTCACGTTTATCATATGAACATTGAACGAATGGATCACCGATATAATTTTGTGGACAACTACATAGTGCTTTGTGATTCACGACCATGCACTTGGCATTATTACCGCATGCTCCATTGCATGGATCTACACATTTTTGGTTGACACACGCTTTATTTGGCATACAGTCACTACTGACCATGCACTCAGGGCGACATAAAGGTGGTGAACCAAAGTAATCTTCTTGGCATGAACAAATTGCATATCCATTGTTTATACGACATATACTGTGAGGTCCGCATGGAGATGGTGAACACGGATCAACGGGTTTTTCGACTCCTAAAATGAAATGTGTTTTAATACGTTTTTTCGTAACGATACGTTTTTGTCAGAGTTATATCGTAAAATATCTTACTAAGATAGCACGACGTAAACGGATTTCCTTCATAGCCTGGTAGACACGCGCAAGAGGGTGCATGGTTATTAACTCTACATTCTGCATTCATACCACAGACACCTGGGCACGGATCAGTACATTTGTTACTTGTGCAAGCTTTGTCTTTAGGGCAATCTGAATTCAAAACGCATTCTGGTCGGCATTCAACATATGGATCGCCATAATATTCAGGTAAACACGAACACGAACCCGCACCATATCTTTCTTTACATATTGCGTTTGCTCCACAAGGATATTTTGAGCAAGGGCTTACTTCTTGCGATTCGATTGCTAAAAATAAGTGTTTGTATAAAAGTTTAAAAAAAATTCGCTCTTGTAACGTATTTGATATTAATTAAATATATAAAACTCACATAATACTTCTGAGCATCCTGCGAAAGGATCTCCAGTGTAACCTTGTTCGCAAGTACATATTGGAACGTGTTTAACGACGTTACAGAAGGCATGGTTTCCGCAAGAACCTGGACACGGATCACTGCATTTCTCCGATATACAAGCTAAGTTACCCGGACACTCAACGCTTATGACGCATTCTGGTCTACAATTTGGAGGGCGTCCAACATAATTAGCCAAACAAGAGCAAACAGGTCCATTTAAGTCTTTGCATTGTGAATGCGGTCCGCAAGGATTGGGTAGACAATTATCAATTGGTGTCATTTGTTCTGGTAGGAAATTAATAAAATTTTAGGTCAAATTTTATCAAATATGAATATGAAACTACAATGAAAAAAAAAACTTACTTTCTTCATAATAACAATGTACAAAAGGATCACCGGTGTATTCGTTCTGACAACTACATATAGGATTATGATTTACGACTTGACACAGTGCGTTGACTCCGCACATTCCCTCACACGGATCTTGGCATTTCTGATTAATACATGCCCTATTCGCTCGACAGTCAGAACTAACGATACATTCTGGCCGACAATTAGGTGGTGAACCGACACATATATCGAGACATGTGCAAACGGCATGCCCATTAAATGTGCGACACTTACTATAAGGTCCGCAAGGTGTAGGGTGACACGGGTCAATTGTTTCTGAAGGAGCTGAAGGAAACATGATAGAATACATAAAATAAGATTATAGATCACGAAATAACAGAAAGATACTAAGAAAGGAAAGAAAGAAAAGTCTTACTCATTATAGGAGTACATGCATGAAGAGGGTTTCCACTGTATCCAGGCAAGCAAGAGCAAGAAGGTGCATGATTGGAAACCCTACATACAGCATTTTGTCCACACGTCCCAGGACATGGATCTACACACTTATTATTGAAGCAGGATGTGTCTACAGAGCAGTCAGTATTCATAACACATTCTGGACGACAGCCTAAATATGGATCTCCGTGAAAATCATCTACACAAGTACATGACCCAGCACCATTCTTTTCTCTGCAAATTGCATTAGGTCCACAAGGCGACGGGTTGCAAGGATGACGGGGTAATTCCCTTGAGACTGAAACCGTGTTTATACATTTATTTAATAACTAGTTAAGCTAAACAATAACAACATGCAATCTACTATGCAATGTAGGCATGCAACATGTGCTAACAGTCTATAGAAAATTTTATCACTTACTTTCGATTTGGTTACAGCCGGAAAATGGATCACCAGTATAATCTTCGTCACAGGAACAAATTGGCTGGTGATTTTGAACACTACAACGAGCGTTGAAGCCACAAGAGCCAACACAAGGATTGATACAGGTACCACTACTACAAGCAAGAGCTAGAGGGCAATCTTGGTTAATAACACATTGTGGGCGACAAGAGGGCGGAGCCCCAAGTGTTCCAGCCTCACAGGCACAAATCGCTCGACCTGCCTCGTTGCGGCATGTTGAGTAGGGCCCACACGGCGAATTTAAGCAGGGATCAGGAGTCACAAATGTTATATCTGTAAAGAAATAAAGTGTCAAGATTTAAGAAAATATCGCTGCAACTAATACTGTAAGGCTCCTAAAATGTTAATTTCTATCAATACGAATATCGATATATATAATCGATACCTATACGACTTACGAAATCTACAAAAGTATGTTTAAGAACATGATCACTACACATCCAATGAGCTGCAGGGGCCCAATTCTTTAAAAGCTGATATCTGCCTCCTATCTAGATGATCTGCCTCCCTAAATGAGTGGTAGATGTCATTCCATCACATGAACCACCTGCTCGCTTACCAACATTTCACAATAAAAAAAAAATATTGTACAAGACATGAATATTCAAGCACAGACGAAAAAGAAAAAATAATATTGTATGTTCATACTTTTTCTGAAGCAACGAATGAACGGATCGCCTTCCGGGAGATTATCGGGACAAGAACAAATTGGATTATGCCCGACTACATAGCATCGGGCATCTAGTCCACAACTATGGATACATGGATCCTGACACTTGTGATTGATGCAAGCTCTGTTTATCGGGCAGTCCGAGCTCACAGCACATTCTGGACGACATGAAGGCGGGGCGCCCAGGAATCCTGCTCGACATGAACATGCGGCACGTTCACCAACCACATGACATTCACTATTTGGACCGCACGGTGATGGCTCGCATGGATTTATTGGTGTTGCTATTAAAATAAAAAGTGTTTTAAGTATATTGTCGATTTCTTGCATTAATGCGAAAACCATACATGGTTAAATAAAACTATTTTTTTGAACAGTGATCACTGTCAAGTGTTCGAAGCGTCAGGAATTTAAATTAAAATAAAACGCTAAAAATTTAAATTCTCATTAAAAATTAAAATTCTATTCTAGAATCCGTAAAATAATTTCCTTTAACCAAGTACATTGAGTGCCGTGATAGCTCAATGTTCGGGCGCTCGCCTTTAATTCAATATACTCGAGCAACCTGAGTTAATTTTAAGTGCCGAATTATCACGTGCTCATCGGTGAAGGAAAACATCGTGAGGAAAACTGTATATTTTCGAAATAATAACAATAAAAAATATTTCAAAGATAATATGTGAAGTCCGCCGATCCGCAGTGGGGCCGCGTGGTGGACTATGCCTAAAACCCTCTGTACAGAGGAGGCCTTTGCCCAGCCGTGGGATATGTATAGGCTGATACAAGTACATTGTAACCAAAAATAACTTACTCAATCTAAAATATGGAATAAAAAGAGTTAGTTAAAACAATACATATTTACGTTTTTTGAATAAAAGGTCATTTATATGTTTATTTATATTTTGATCATCCATTAAATAAAATATGAAAAATCATAGCACTTACGAGATTTTGTAATCTGACGGCATGAAGAGAATGGATCTCCTTCATATCCTTTGAAGCATGTGCAAACAGGAACATGATTAGTGACCGTACATTCTGTGTTTACGCCGCATAAGTCCTTACAGGGATCTCTGCAGTAGTTTGATAAACACGCAAGGTTGTTTGGACAATCTGAATTCAAAGAACATTCGGGTCGGCAGCCACCAGCGTACGGATTTCCAATATTTGGAGGAATACATGAACATCGAGCAGTATTACTTACTACTGTGCATAAAGTGTTTTCACCACAAGGTGATGGATTACACAGTGAGCCCTCTTCTTTCGATATTGTTACGCATCCTATGAATGCATCTCCTTTAAACCCATCTAAACAACTACACAGTGGAGTATGGTTTACGATATCGCATTTAGCATTACTACCACAAGCGTTGATACATGGATCGACACATCTTTCATTAATGCAAGCCTTGTTTGTTGGGCATTCTTGACTTATTATACATTCTGGTCGACAATATGGTGGTGTCCCGGAATAATTCGGGCGGCATGAACATACCGGATGATTAGATTTTATTTCGCAAACAGAATTTGGTCCACAAGGTGAGGGTAAACATGGGTTATCTCCCGGTGGTATTTTCGTCGGGTTTTTACTTTCAATAACTTGCACTTCGCTACATGCAATAAATGGATCTCCAGTCATTCCTGGGTCGCAACTACATAAAGGATTATGGTTTACAACGAAGCATGTTGCACCGATGCCGCAACTTCCTTGACAAGGATTGATGCATTTTTGATTAACGCAAGTTAATTCTTGTGAACAATCGGCATTTCCAACACATTCGGGTTGACACATTGGTGGCATTCCAACATGACCAGGCAAACAGGAGCAGACCGCAGAGCCTGATGTTGTCGCAAGACAACGGCTATATGGACCACAAGGTGAAGGGTCACAAACGGACAATGAAGGTGGTACAGACATAGTTGTTTGACATCTTATATACGGATCTCCTGTTTGACCTGGTGCACAATAACATACAGCATGATGGTTCACAGTCGCACATAATGCACCAATACCGCAAACGTCTTCGCACGGAGATTTACATTTGTTATTTAAGCATGCCATGTTGGTCGGGCAATCACTATTAATAGCACACTCAGGCCGACATGAAAGATATGGATTTCCAAAAAAGTTTGGTAAACATTGACAAGTATGTATACCGTTTGTATTTTGGCACATGGCATTATCACCACATCGGATATTATCACACGATTCATGAACTGCAAAAGAATATTAATACAAATTATCTTAACTTTGAAAAGCTAATTTACCAACAATAAAGATCTTTGTACTACATACCGCTGGCGGTTGGTTTACAGTGTTCGTATGGATTTCCTTCAAATCCTTCTCGGCATCGGCAAATTGGATCGTGGTGATAAACTAAACAGTCTGCATTGACACCACAAGATCCAGGACAAGGGTCTACGCATTTATTTCTCAAACAAGCCTTGCTAAATTCACAGTCAGAACTAAGAATACATTCAGCTCTGCAAGATGGATTATTTAGGTGAGGAGGCCCAACACATGAGATACAAATTGCCATTTGACCGCCGTAAGAATCACAAATAGCATTGGAGTCACATGGATTTGGAGTGCAAGCTTGTATCGTTGTGTTTTCAGGTGTAACCAGAACAGCTAAAATGAAATCATTTTGTTTTAATTGAATGAACATTTCAGCAGACAGCTATATTTTCATAAGTATGTTAAATACTTACGTCGATAAATACATTGAATATTTGGATCTCCAATGTATCCTTCCGGGCAGGCACAAGAAACTGTATGATCCGAGCATGAACAAATAGCGTTCATCCCGCAAACATTGTTGAAAGAACATGGGTCTTGACATTTTTGGTTTATACATGCTTCATTAGAAGAACAATCTGAATTCATTAGACATTGCGGCTTGCATTCTATGGTGGCGTTGCCTAAAAGATCCGGTGGACAGGAGCATAATGCTTTATCTCCAACATTTTGACAGATTGCATTTAAGCCACATTGAATTCTATCGCAAGGACGGAATGACTTCTGATCTTCTGGCGGTAAACAGCATATTAGTGGATTTCCAACTAATCCTTCATCACAAATACATACAGGGCGATGCGATTCAACGTGGCATTTTGCGTTCAGTCCGCACACGCCGGGACAAGGATCGCGGCAAGAAAATCCAATACATGCTTTATTTGGTTCGCATTCATCATCTACCTCACATTCAAGAGAAACACAACCTTCTATTCCGTACGGGTCTCCTGTGCTACCAGGAGCACAGCTACATAAAATTTGACCATCAAAGTTAACATTACAAATACCTCGAGGGCCGCATGGGTTTGGTATGCATTGACTTCTCTGAGGCTCGCAACCAGTGTAAGGATCCCCTGTATAACCCGTTTTACAGAAACACATTTCTCTATTGGTGCTTACATAACAATCTGCGTTTTGTCCGCAAGGTCCAGGTTGGCAAAGTATATTCGAATGAATGTAAGAATTGCAGGATTTATACGGATTTCCGACTGTATTTTCAGGACAATAACAAACAGGACTTTTGTATGGATCGCAACGGGCTCCCTCGCCACACCTGTTTGGTTCACATGGATTTCTCGCTTCTATGCAACCTCTGACTGTATTAGGACTTTCAACATAGCCTGGTAAACAAGTGCACTTAGAGAATCCGTTTGCTAAAACTGTGCATTGCGTGTTTGGTCCACACGGCGATGGATTACAAGGATTTTGCGGTAGTTTACAAGGTTGTCTTGGAGGGTTTCCTTCGTAATTTGGCAAACAGAAGCATGCTGGTTTACCTTCTATAAGTCGACATCCTGTATTTGGACCACAGGGGTTAGGTTCACATTCATTTCCTTCCGGTACTGTAATAGTAATTAAATAATGAAATACTTTATTATTCCTTAAAATATATTTTACTACATATGTGTATTTTTACTGTGGTATGAAAACACGAAACCACAAAACAGCTCCTGCTGTTGCACGAATGTGCAGGCCCACCCGGTAAATTCTTACAGAAGACCGGATTGCAGTGGGAGTATTAAACTTTCACGTTTCGCCCGATGAGTGAGGTAACCATAACCCACTTTTTAAAGGTTGTCAACGCGTCTGCAAGCCAGTGGGTGTAATCACTTAACGTCAAGTGGACCGCCTGCACGCTTGACAATTTTTTATATTAAAAAGATGTATAAAAATACTTACTACATGTCTTAAATGGATTACCAGTTAAACCTTTCGGGCAAAAGCATATAGGATTTCCATTATCGCTTTCACACAAAGCGTTAATTCCACATGGGTTAGGAGTACAAGGATTCGTTGGCGGCTCACAACCTAAAACCGGATTACCAGTATATCCTGGCAGACATTTGCAGGACGCACGATGATTTAAAACATCGCAAACAGCATTTATGCCACATTTACATGGTGACCCACAATTCCCATTAATGCAAGCTTCTGAATTTAAACACTCATTATCAGATCGACATCCTTGTACTAGAAAAAAAAAAATACTGTGAAGTAATAATAATAATGCTGCATAAAAAAATTATAAAAAAGATATGTTAAAATATACCTTTATAACATTCTAAAAATGGATTTCCAGTAAAGCCTGCTCCACATTTGCATTGCACTCCATGATTTTCTGGTACACATTCAGCATTATCACCACATTTATTGATAGCACAGGGATTGATACAAACTCTATTCATTCTGTCACAAAGTAATTCTGGGGGGCAATCTTCATTGTACTGACACACCGACTCTGAGGGATTCCGTACTAAGAAAGAAAATCATATTTGTAAAAACAAAGCTTCTCAATCTAAATTAATAGACGTAAGCGAAAAACCTACCTGGAACACATCCAACATATCCGTTTCCCTGAAATCCTTCGATACAGCCGCAATCTGAGCCATGGTTTGTGTTTATACAAACTGCATTAGGTGCGCATGGATTATGTATAGCACACGGGTGTTGACATGCATTATTTATGCAAGCCTCAGTCAAAGAACAGTCTTCATTTCGAGAACAACCAACTGCGTAGAATGAGGAAATACTTATATATTATACTTCAGAAATAATACAATAAAATTTGTAGAGTGCAGTTCATTTACGAAATTATGAGATTAAAAATTATTTTAATTTACTACAATATGAATTTTCAGCTATCGTGGGTTCTGTTTATATGGAATAGTCGTTAACAATTAAAATACACTGTACAATTTTTTATGCACAATTATAAATACATTATTTAAGTTATTCTTTAAGCGAATAAATAATAATGTACACTCAATTTTTATTAGAAACCCGTTCAAACAGTTTTATCATGAATTACACATACATTACAACAAAAAAAAAATGTTTTCAGACACATTTTTACACAACGCTCTCTAGTCCCAAACTAAGCAACGCTTCTACTATGGATACCAAGAAAGTGATAAACATACTTAAACATACTTTTCTTCAGTAAATAAATATACATGTTCAACACTATGTTGTTGAAAAACACTATGTTCATCACAAAATATTTTTCCGGTAATGGGGATCGAACTCACACCCTCTAGCGCTAGAGGCATGTTCACTAGTCAATAGTTCACTAGCCACGCCAATGGAGTCGCCACTAATTATAACTTTTATGTTTTAAAGTGAGGAATAGGATATTTTAGAGCAATGATCAACTACTGTTATAGATACTTACACATTCTCTTTTACTCACAATCTCAATTTATTGACAAATTATACACCGAGCTTCAAAAAGCAAAAATGGTTGTCTTTAAATAGTTTAAGTTTGTTGAAGACTGACTTCGAATTAAGGATGTTAAAGAAAAATACATAAAACTGCATGGGGCCAATATTTTATAACAAATATAGAACGATAGCTAATATTGAGATAACTGAACTGTTCTTAATTGTTTATACTCGTGTCGTATAAAGCGCACATTATAATATGCTCGTAGGCTTGAAGCCTGTTTGCCTTAGAGTCCTATACTAATTTTTACATAAATGTAAAATGATTCGCTGTAAAATTTGTAGATAAGTATTGTTGAACAAAATTCATATTTAAACATATTTCATTTTTACAATAGTACTCTTTAAATTGAGTTAAAATCCCGGCGCCGACACCAATTACGTTTTTAATTGCAATTTTTAATGCTGATTAACCTCGTGCTCAGAAGTTAAGGAAAAACTCGGAAACCTGTATATTTTGGAAGTTATAATCGTAAAGCAATATTTAAAAGAAATATAAAATCTGTCTAAATTTTTAGACCATAAAATGGCCGAAAAAACATCAAAATATGTTGCAAAAATAATATTACAAACAAATTTAGAATACTAGACTATTATAAATTATAGTTAAATTATGTATAATATAATTATGCATTAGTGGATCAGCGCAATTGTTTTATGATTATTTATAAGTTTTCCTTATAAACCTTAGATATCTTAACATGTTAAAACAATTAGTAAATTTAGCTTACATTGTTTAGGTGAACATTTAACTGCAGGATCTCCGTCATATCCTGACGGACATGAACACATTGGCCTTTGTTTTATTGGTTGGCAATTTGCACCGATACCACATTTGTCAAACTCGCAAGGATTTTGACACCATCCCATAAAGCAGGCTTCGGTTTCTATACAATCCCGGTCGGAATGACATGGCTCTGGTGTTTTTGGAGTCCCCGGTGGTGCTAATATATTATATGTTACATTAAGAATTAGTTCGTTATATGAATAATGAAAAAAAGGTTAAAACGTGTTCTATTTACAGTAACGATTTTTATTAATACTTGTATGTGTAAATTTAAATATACACTTTTGTACACTTGTCCGATAAAACTACCGTAGTACTAAAATCTAGTACTAACAATATATCACATACGGCTTTTTAAGAAAGAAACAATATTAAAAACCTACATGGTATGCAACTTAATATATTTAAGCATACCTCTGACACAGAAGTCCCCAGCAGCATCATCGCATATACAAACAGCAGCATGGTTGATAACTTTACAGGAAGAATTCTTTGTACACGGGCTCGGCAACACCTCACATGGGTTCTGACATACTCCGTTTAAGCAAGATTCATGTGTCATACAGTGTGTGTTTATTTTACATTGAGTGTTAATTTGTAGTTCAGTCGTGTCAGCAAAATTAGTAGTCTCTGTAGTTGTATGTTCAAAGTACATTGTTGAGTCAGTCCACGCTGGAATATCAATGTCTTTTCTTCGTGACGACAAATTTTCAATAGATGTACTTAAATCAAGAGATGTGGTGGTAGGTGAAACATCAAATAATTGCAGTTTAGTAGTTTCTGTTGACAAAGATTCTGGTGCTGTTGATGAGGTAAATTTAAGCATCTCATTATTTGCAGGCGTAGCAATTTCGGATGTAGTTTTTTGTATCGTTTTGGCGGTTGTACTAAAATCATTTTTGTTAAAAGTTGTATTTTCTGGATAAATCACGTGTGTAAAGTCAGTCATAATCATTGTTGTTAATTTAGTAGAAGTGTATTCCTTTGATTCATTTTTTAAATTATGAACTAGTCCATTGTTATCTATATCTGCAAATATCGTATTATAACTCATGGTTGTCGCTTTTTCCCCTTGTGTTTTCGCTTGTGTTATTGCAGTAATATTTTCATTGTTTGAGTCAGAATTTATCTCGGTGTAGTAAAATTTATCATCATTACTTGTATTTTCATCTTGATCACTCTCAATAAATGTTGTTTGAGTTGAATCTGCTAACGATAATGCAGAAAAAACCTTATCAGTAGTAAATAAATCAAATTCCTTTGAATTCATATCGTATTTGTTTGTAATCATGTCTGCATCCGAAGGAATGTGATAATTTTCAAATGACGTCCTATCAAACATGCTTGCCACCGTCGTTGATGTTAATTCGTTATTTTTATCAAATCCTTTATCCTTAGAGACTGTTATTTTTTTCATATCAATAGATAATGTTTTACTACTTGTTCGAAATTCATCAATAGCAGTGGTTAACATAGGTTTTACAGTTGTTTCTGTTGTTAGTGTAATTTCATTTTCATTTGATTTTTTTATTGATAAATCTTTTCCTTGATTTTTAAAATTTTTTCTAGTAAAAACTTCTAGTTCTGAAGATATGGTGGAAGTTGATACATCCCCTTCAAAATTGTTGACGGGAGTTGTGTAAAATGACCCAGTAGTACTATCGTTTTCCGTTAATTCTCTCATAGAATCTGTTGTGGCAGTATTTATTGACAATGTTTTAGAAAAAAATGGTAAAGTTGTAATCTCCAGATCTTCTGTAACTAAATCAATCGATTTTTCAGGTGCCATAGTCTCATAATTTTGTTTTAAAGAATTTGAATAATTATCAGATACAGGAGCTAATGTAGAAATAATTTTATCATCTATATCATTAGAAACTAGAGGCATTTCTACAGTAGTTTTTTCTGATATTTCTTTTGCCAGGAATAAATTAGATAACGGCGTGGTGACTTCTAAATTTCCTGAATTTGTTGATAACGATGGTTCCTTGTTTTTACTTCTTACAGTTTCATAAAATTGGTCATCTACACTTATATATTTATGTGTGGTTTCATATTCTTGAGAGGTTGGTTCATTAGAAAATAAAGAAGTACTTTTTGTTTTCACTATATAAAGTTGTTCATCGTCTTTACCAATAACTTCAGACTGACTATTATCTTCTATTATAGATGTTAAATCCTCATTTTGGGTAGAATAAAATGCTTCTGTAGTTATAACAGTAGAATCGATTTTATCCGAAGCATATGTTGTGCCATGAGTAGCAGTAGTAATTTCTTTATAAGAATCGTGAGTATAAGACTCCGTAACAAAAGTTGCATCATTATTTGAAATAGTACTGAAGTCATTATTTTCAGTTTTTGGCCCAGATTTCTTTTTTGTAATTTGACCCTGGTAAGATTCTGAAGACAAATCTGATTCAATATTATGAATGTTGTATTTATTATAACCAGACTCTGTTGTTGCGACAATTTCGGTATAACTATCGATTTTTGAAGTTGAACCAATATTAAATGATGTAACCAAAGATTCTCCTTCAGATCCTTCAGTGGTCACTGTTGATTTACTTAGTGATAATTGTTTTGATTGGGGAATTGTAGTAGATTCTGTTGTTATAGATTCAGTGAAATATTGTTTTGTGTTGAGATCTGAAGTGAGTGTAACGTCTTCGTCTATCCATATTTCATTTCCATATGTAGTAGGTTTCATTGTTTGTTCATTTATATTTTTATTGAATAAAGTACTTCCGGTTGTTATTAAGTTGTTATTTGCTTCAACAAATTTTGTATACTCATTTGTAGTCAATGTATCTGCATTAGTCGTAGTGTATTTAAAAGTCAAAGTAGTTAGGGGTTCGCTTTCATTTTCTAAAATTGTTGATAACGTAGAAATGGATGGAGTTTCTGTAAAATCATAAGTGCCTGTAGAAATATTTTCAAATTCATTTGATATTAAATAAGATGATGTTTTGATAAATTGTACATCAACATCGGATTTATTATCCAATGTACTATGCGACGTTGTTGATTCTTTATTTTCCTTTTCAACGGGTAACATGTATTTACTTTTTATAGTGGTCACTTCAGTGTCTTTTAATACTTGATAAATGTTTTGATTTCCTTTGAATTGGAATGGAGTTTTATAACCTATTGTCAATGAAGGTTCCATTGAAGAAATAGTTGTTTCTAAATTCTCAATGGTGTATTCCAGTGCTGAAGTTGTAGTCGTCTCTTCTTTCTTTTGGCCATCTACAGTAGTTTTTTCAGTCAAAAAGATTCCTGGTTCATATTTATTATGATCTGTTTTAACAATTTTATTAGTTGCCGTGGTTTTAAAGTTATCGTTCTCTTTCTGAAAAGGTTTTTTTAACTCTTTATTGTTAGCAATTAAATCTTTTGTAATTAAATATTCTGATAAATTTATGGTTGAATCTGTCACATCGTTCGTTTCATAAACTGTCGGAACTACATTAGTGTTTGTTTTTTTCGTATAATCTTCAAAATTACTATTTTTCATTGTTGTTGAAGGGATATCTGAAGTCTCAGTTGGAGATGGGTAATTGTATCCATCTTTTACATTTTCATCTTTTTCGTAACTTTTAGTTCTTACAGTTATTGCTACATCTGAATCAATAGTATGAGTAGATGTCGAAATATCTTTATTAACCGTTTTACTATCTACGGGCCTATTGGTAATGTATTGTAAATCACTTTCAGATGTCTTTGAAGTTGTTATATCGTCATTATATAAATTTGTTAGTTCGTTTTTATCAGTTTCACTCTTTGACGTAAGGAAAAAAGGCGTACTGGTATCAATAAATATATCCTTTGACGTGGTACTCTCTTGTTTCAATTGGTCGTTAATATTTTGTGTACTAATTTCTTCAACGATTTGTGTTAAAACCTTTTCTAGTTGATTCGTGTCATCGTCTTGCGGAATACGAGTCGTTGAGTTTGTTTCGTCATTACTATTTTTCATTGTTGTTGAAGGCATATCTGAAGTTTCAGTTTCAGATGGGTAATTGTATCCATCTTTTACCTTTTCATCTTTTTCGTATCTTCTAGTTGTTACAGTCATTGCTACATCTGCATCAATAGTGTGAGTAGATGTCGAAAGATCTTCATTGACCTTTATACTATCTACGGGCCTATTAGTAATGTATTGTAAATTACTTTCGAGTGTCTTTGAAGTTATTGTATCATCATTATATACATTTATTAGTCCGTTTTTATCAGTTTCACTCTCTGACGTTAGAAACAACGGCGTACTGGTGTCAATAAATATATCCTTTGAAGTGGTACTCTCTTGTTTCAATTGGTTGTTAACATTTTTTGTAGTAATTTCTTTAACGATTTGTGTTAAAACATTTCCTTGTTGATACGTGTCATCGTCTTGCGGAGTACGAGTAGTTGGGTCAGTTTCTAAAGTGAAATAAAAATCACCCCTTTCGGTATACACTTTACTTCCGCTGGAAACGGCAGAGGTAGTTTCAAATCGTTCTGACAAACCTGAATCTGAAGTTGTCTCATCTTCTATATTTGTTTCAGTTCTTTGCATGCCCATTAATTCTGTAAATTTATATTTTATTTCTTGATAGGGTTCTGTTGACTCTGCTTTATTAAAATCTGTATTGTCAGATTCAAATGTTTTATCTTGAGATGTTTCATTTTGTTCAAAAACATTAGAAACAAGAACCTGAGTGTAATTGTTATTTAATTTACGCTGACTATCCAGTGTTTTATGTAGTGTACTTTCACTTGCTTGTTTTCTTGTGCCATTTGTTTCAGTACGCATAGAAAACGGCTTCACAGTACTTTCGAAATGTATAGTGCTACTACTTTGCACTAGTTCGTCGGAATCCAGTGTTGACTGATATTTATTGTTAAATTCTGTATAATAAATACCGATAGGTGTTGTATCTTCTAAATTGTTAGATTCAGTTGCAGATTTGTCAAAAAATTTTTCATCATTGTTTTCAAAGTTGTATGAAGTAGATGTTTCTAATGCAACTGTTGATGTTTCATGTAAACCCTTTACCAATAAATATGAATTTGTTGTAGGTTTCTGTGCCAACGCTTTGTCCTCCAATTTTGTAAACATATCGACTTGTGTCATTGCCTGCAGTGTTGCAGTACTTTCTTCTTCTTCAATTGTTGTTAATTCACTACTGTCTTCTATTAAAACATTTGTATATAAATTGTTACTAGATGTTGTAATGTCTTTAAAATTCTGCGTTGTTTTGGAATCAAATAATGTTTGCTTTTCACCAGACGTCGAATCCGTATTTGTAAAAGTGTCAAAGTCAGAGTCAGTATTTTGGATATACCTAACAACGGTCGATTCCGTTAACGTAGAACTAGTAGTAGTGATGTCGGAGTATGTTAGTGGGACATTTTTAGGGCGATCATCTGTTAATGGGAACGTAATAACAAACATGTTAATTAAAATGTACAAAATTACAATTCTTTAAATTATAACTCCAAACTAAAAAGAGAAAATGAGAAATATTTAAGCTAAAAAATTAAAACACATAAGGCTTTGAAAACGTCAGGAAACCCAAATAAAGAAAGAAAAATCCACTGTTGATTGAAAAAGCCCAAAGAGTAAGAAGACAGTAAGATAAGGGATCTGAAATTTAGACTTATCTGGCCTTTGAGTGAGTTTTTATAGAAATTAGTTTATTAAAGCAGAATATGTAATTAAATAACATAAATATATATAACTATAATAAAGGAGCCTTATTTAATTTCATAATGTCTAAACCAAGAAGGATATCTACAGCAAATGTAAAACGGTCTGTCAATTATTACCAATATTGCAGCTACGGTAATGATTATGATGTCTGCCGGGTCTGCCGTGATAGTGTAGCCAGAACTTTGTGGCGTTTTATCGGACATAGTGGTACGTTAATTATAATAGCAATAACCAGTTCATCTGGAGTTAGTTTTGCTATTAAAAAATACATAATAAACGCAAACATACTAGTTTTATAATAGTAGTCTGCGGATAAAAAAACTTATGTGATTTGAGCAAATATGAATAATAATACCAAAGTCCGAACAAAGTCGACAGAATATATTAAAATAAGCTAAATCACACAAGGCATTAGCACAACTATCGCAGATCAAAAGAAAAAAACATAATCTAATGCACAAAATGTGCCAGTTACTTACTTTCCATGCAAGCTCCTGAGAATGGATCACAGGGTACACCAGGTCGACAATGGCCACAATTAGTAGTAGGCGTATCTGTTGAAGTAAATTATTAAAGACCAACTTTATAGGTTTATTTTAAATTAGATCAAAGTGAAACGGTCAGTTTAAGTATCGTTGACATTATTATTAAATTAATTTAACTCACCAGTGACACATGCGCATCCATCGCAATGTGTATTCGAGTATCTTGCACAATCTGCATTAGTTTGACATTGACACACTATAAAAAACAAAAAATACAAAGCCTTTTATTCTCCTTGTTAATGAACCGTTATATAATAAACATCCCTACATAATACAATATAGACTTATTTCATAGATTGGCATAGATTAATAACAATATCGTACATCATATAAAGAAGACTAAGTTATAATAAGACTTATACGCTATGATGATGCGGTTACAGGCCATTCACCAATGACCTGTTCTGTTTAAAATAGCAGTTATATAAAATTAACCGCTAATTCTAGAATATAACTGAAATCAGATTTTTGTTCTTAATATTATTTGTTTAATTAATCAGAAGCAAAAATTGAATATTATTAGGTTTACTTCTAAGGAAGCCATAATTTTTCGTCGCTGTGGCTACCAGCCGTTTAGCTCAGTGGCTAGAGCGTCAGGCCGTGAATGCCGAAGACGTGGGTTCGATTCCCACAGCGGCGACAATCTTTTCGTACTTTTTCTACATGTTTTAAAGCTATAAAAGTTCAATCATGTATTGTAAATACGGTACCCTTTGAGCAAACAGGCTGGTGATTGACGACAGCACAGCGTTGTCCAGCTAAGCACGGACTTCCATGGAAGCAAGGGTTTGTACATCGTCCGTTAACACATGCGAGGCCTTCAGCACATTGCTCGTGTGCACCGCATTCTAAGGCTGCATACATGTGGTTAATTAATGCTTTTGTTGTACATAATTATAGTATTTGTTCGTAAATGTTCAAAACCTTTATAGTTTGATGAATCTAAGACTAACAAAATTTTAAGTGTTTGAATCGAATTCAAGGCTTCTACTAATATTATTCACTATATACAGTAACAGTTTTTATACATCCATTGGAAAAGAAAGTTATATACTTAAACTGTTTATAAAGAATTAAACATATAAATGATGACTACGTACATATATGTATATAACAAAACAAAAACGTAAGCTACAGATAAACCGCTGATAATAAACAAAATTTTTACACAGTTACGCTGCATAAAGAACACAAAAAGGCATTAAAATTTGTAGTTGCAAACTCTGTCTCGTGGCAGTTTTATTGCAGTTCGTATTATGCCAGAGTTTTAAAGCGTTAGAATAAAGTGCCCAAGCGCATCCGCCACCACAATGTGAAAGTTACATTTAAATGAATAATATTTACACACATAGTAACATCATGCTGCAAAAACTACCTGATATAGAAGAAGTTCAAACTGTGGAAATAGAAATGTGACCATGCTAGAAACAAGAAATAGACAGAAAGAGCCGCATGAAGTAGAAAAAATCTATATTTCCTGCAATATGAAGAAAACATATTAAGGTTCATTAAGACAAAAAAGTACTAATAGAAACTATGAAATATTTAATATTTTGCTAGCGGAAAAATTACCTTTAATGCAGCCATGCTTTTCATCGTGAGTAAATCCGTTAGGACAGAACTTGCACACTGGGTGATGATCTTCAACTGAACATGGAGCGTCACCACATACCCCTTTGCATGGATCTTTACATTGAAAATCAATACAAGCCAAGTTTTGCGGACATCCATTATCTCTCAAACAAATCGATACTGTTGGATGACATTCTTCGACGCAAACACACATAACACGATGCTCTACTACTTCACACTGTTTTCCTTGCGGACACATAGGCTCTCTTGATGCCAAACAAGGATTCACGCATTTTGAATTACGACAAACGGCATTGGAAGGGCATTGTTCATCCCTTGTGCATTCTGCGTGTTCCGGGGCACATGTAAGTTCCCCTTTATCGTTCAATGCAAACCCGTTACGACATACACAAACCGGTCTGTGGTTTCTTACTTCACATTTTTGATTCGGCCTGCAGTTCTGATAATCCATGCAAGGATTATGACATTGGTTAGTGCTTTCATCGCATGCCAATTTAGGTGGACACGGCTTAGTGTCTGAACAGGTGATAGTTGTATTTAATTCGACTGTTGGCTTGCAAGTAGGGTCGAGGCGGCAAGCGAGGCGTGGTTGACCCACATAGCATTGCGGGCATGAACATTGGGCTCGGTGCATAACAGACACGCAGAGCGCATCTTCACCGCATACACCTCGAATTGTACATGGGTCGACGCAATGTAAGCTCAAACACGCTTTATCTACTGGACAGTCCTTGTCACTCGTGCATTCGATACCTAGGAAGATGTGAAAGAAGAAAGCAGAGTCGAAAGAGCTGTACCTTCAGCCACGAAGAGGAAACTTTCTCACGAGACAGTGCATGCTTTTTGAAACTGACAGTTTATGATCAAAGATATATAACGGTATATTATAATACAAGCGATATGTACATGAAGCCGAACAAAATCTTACGGACTGTATTTAAGCACGAACGGTGAGAATGCTTCCACTAATATCAATAAATTTAATTATATTATAATCAGAAAGTTATGAACATTTATTTATGATACAATCATAATTGCACGCAATATTCATATGGATTTTGTTGAATAATGAAATAAGTGTTTGTACAATAAAAAAATTAAAGAATTCAATAAATTCGGTAAGTTTAATAATTTTTGATACGTACGGATAAATGAATCTCTCATAACCCTCACCAATACAAAATTTACAAAATGATTGTATAATGTTAAGTAGACAAACAAGTCTTACATAAATGCATCTTTTTGTTGATCATATTATATTCTATATAAAGTTTTTATTATGTTCTCGAAATAGTCATTTATTTTTGCTGTTTGGTAGTAATTACATAAAAATTGATCGTGCATTTTTACAAGTGCCGAACGGAATATATTGATTTTTAACTTACTAGTATGACACTCGACGTCGGCTTGTCCTTCCGTACCGGGTATGCAACGACACACAAATTCTGCGCCTTCTCTTAAACATTCTCCATTTAACCCACATCCATTTGTTCTACAGTCGACAACACTTAACTCCTGGTTACCTGTATAAATAATGATACATCCACATATGATATAAAATAATAGTAAATTATTCAACAAGTTATAATTTCGCTTGTTTTTGTTATAAAACACACTTACATTCAATGTTTGGATCCCCTTTAGGGTAATTTCTAGGACAGTAACAATGAGGTTGTCCATTGTATCCTATCCGACATTGTGCATTAAGTCCACAATTTTTATGTGCACACGGTGCCATAGTGCCACAGAAACATTGACGTTGTGGATTTCCGGCACAACCTGGTGGGCAAGTGCACTCATAACTGCCGTCGTCTAAATCGCGGCACCGGGCGTTGATGCCACATGGATTACGCAAACAACTTCCTGCTGCTGGTTTAGAACATTCAACTCTCGGGTTTCCTAAGTAGTTTGGTGGACATGTGCATTGTGGAATTTTGTTTACAGCTCGACAAATTGCGTTTACACCGCATGTTCCTAAACAAACGTTTTTGCATTTACCCTCATTGTTGCATTCTTCGTCTATGCCACAATCTTCACTTTTCAAGCATTCATATGATTTACATTCTTTTGATGGATCGCCAGAATAACCGCTAGCGCAACTACAAACCGCCCGATGTCGCGTTGCAATGCATAAGGCGTTCTTTCCGCAAGAATTTTCTCTACAAACTGATACACATTGTTTTAAAGAACACCTCATATCATCTCCACAATCTCTGTCATTACTACAACCCGGGACACAGACACCTTGTGAGCATATCTGTCTTTGCGGGCATTTATTCCTGGAAGAACATAGAGACCGACAGCCCCCATTAAAACATTTTTCGCCACAGTGGCAATCAGAATTACTTTCACAAAGTGAAGTACAATATCCACTTTCATCACACGGACAAAAACCGTCGCATTGCATTCTCTTCTTTTTACATTCGACCACTGGGTTTCCCGTATAATTGCTAGAGCAGCTGCATTGAGCACGATGATTTATCACTATGCATTGAGCACAAATTCCGCAACTTTTACTCTCTTTACAAGGATCTGCAAAATTGTTAATCTTCGATTTAAGAAAACAATCACTTGTGAAACAAATGTCATTGTAGTGTCGATAACATAGCAAATATAATAATCCAGTCATCATAGAGGTCACTCTTATTGAAAACAAAGCAATAAGAGTAAAAAAAACAATATGAGTGACTTCTATGATGACTGGACTGATAAAAAATAATTAACTAATTGAAAACAATTAGTTAATTATTTTTAACAAGTTTTATTTTTAGTTACTAAATAAATTCGCTGTCTGAATATTGAATTAATTTCAACAAGTTTTAATTGCTTAATAAGTAAATCGACCTTAAACTATTATACTATTATTGGTTTCGTATATAATAGAATCAAATTAAAGTTATTAAATATTTTATAAAAATTAAAGAAAAGTATGCGATAAATGCTTTTATCATGGTTTAATAAATATAAAGTACATTCTTGTTTTTAGGTGCATTACAGTACGAAATATATTTTATGTAAGAGCATAAAACATATTTATTTAACAAAGATGTTACATCTCCAAAATAACACTTATCATAATACCTTTGCATTGTCCATCCACACAGGCTTGATCATTATTACAAGCATTGTCATCGCGACAACCTTGTTTACATATTCTATTTTCACATATATGACCACTATTACATGCATCGTCGCTGTTGCAAATAATCCTACAAATTCCTCGAATGCATTTTTCATTTGATAAGCAAACAACGTCACTGTAAATGAAATATATACTGAATGATACATTTAAACATGTAAAAAATAAAAATAGATTATGTAATTTCTTTTTCATTTTACTGACGGTTTATTCACATTCTTTTTTTTATGTGAGAAGGTGGCAATCGAGCCGGTGGTTCACCTGATGTTGAGTGATAAACGCCACCCATGGATATATGCAATACCCGTGGGGTTGCAGATGCTTTGTCACCTTTTAATATAGTAGGTTTCGATTACCGCACCAGACGAAACTTTTCAATTCACGCCGGTCTTCTATGAGGTTGTGGTACGACACCGGCCCTGCCCATTCATGTACTAGCGAAGACTATTGCTTAGCCCTACTATACGAATTTTCATGTTATGTTATAATTATATTACAGAATAGTAGTCAAAAACGACTGCACGACAAGAGATAAGATAAAAGGCTAAAAGTCATAGTTGTAGTCTTTCAATTGTAAACGGTCATCTACGAGCACGTTGATGATACTAGACTTAAAGTTCTATGTAGATATCGATTAGTACCTTAAATTATAGATATCTAGATATCATCTAGATATCATTTAATGTACTAATATAATGTTAAAAATTAGTTAATAAAACATTAAATAACCTTCTACATGACGGATGACAGGTATTTCCATAGCAAGTAAACTCATCAGGGCAGTTTTTGTTTTCATCGCAAGGTAAATTTATTCTACTGCACACAGCTTCCGGATCTCCTGAGAGTGCTCGAGGACAGGTGCACACTGGTTGATGATCCCTTGTTGCACATAATGCATTGGCACCGCAAGTTGCAGGCTCTACACAAGGATCTATGCACTGTCCTGATATGCAAGCATGTTTAGCGGAACACTGAGAATTAGATCGGCAACCCAATACGCATAATCGGCCGTCACAAATTTCATCGTCTGAACAGTGTTCATCGGAAGTACAAGCATCTCGACAAACTCCTAAATCACAACGTTCGCCTTGTAAGCATTCGGATCCATCTATAGTGCACGCAGGTCGACATCGATCACCCTCGCACCTCCATCCTTCACCGCAATCTTTATGCATACGACATGTGGCTGATGGTGTTCTAACGCATCCAATGTTAGGTGTTGGATTAGGTATTAATCCATCTATGCACGAGCAGGCTGCTTTTCTATCAACGACAGAACACAAAGTATTTGGACCACAAGGATTGTTATCATTTAAACAAGGGTTTTGGCAATAGTTGTTTTTGCATATTTCTTCAGGTCCACAATCTTCATCATATCTGCAGCCGTATTGGCAGCTATTTGCCAAACATATGTGTCCAAGGAAACAGTCATTATCTACGCGGCATGTTACTGTAAAGAATTAAAAATATATAGTTATTTAAAATCAGCGTACGCCAGAATATAGTAAAAAATACATATATAAAGTATTTTTTGCTGATAAATTAAGATTCTTATAATTTATTATTCCCTTAGTGATTCTTAGATCTAAGGTAAGGTTTTCACTTTGACACATTTGACAGCTTGTATTCATTGTGAAATAAATCGGAAAACATTTTTTTAAATTAAAAATGAAAAAAACTTAAAACTTACACAAACAAACTCCCTTCGAGCACCTTTCATTTAAAGCGCATTCTTCGTCACTTTGACACTGAGGTACACACATGGAGTTATGACACATGTATCCATTATCACATTCCTCAGCCGCTCCACACAACCTTGGGACTAAAATAAGAGAGCAATGTAAAATAGTGTACATTATATTTATGAGTAGAAAAAATATGGCTAAAAAACAACTCACTTCGAACACATTCAATGTCTTGACTTCCAGTAAAACTATTAGGACAACTGCATTGCACGATATGGTTATCTGTGCGACAAACGGCATTTAAGCCACACGATTTTTCCATTTGGCAGGGATTTAAACATTGCCCGTTGATGCATTTTTCATTTGATGTGCATTCTTCGTCTAGTAAACATAACGCTAAAAAACATTTAAGTATTTCTGAGTTTTTATGTTGTATATTACTTTAAATATTTAACTATAACTTTAAATTTTGCTTTAAGAGTTCAAATATTAATAATTTAAATTTTTTAGCAAGTGAATTTGTTACCTTTGCAAATTCCGCTGTGACAGTATTGATCGTTTCTACAATCATTTTTGCTTCTACATGTTATTTCACGAAGTCGACAGCCTTTTTCACTAGCAGCATTACCGATGTAACCATTTTTACATTTACATTGACCAGTATGTCTTGCTGCAATACATTCAGAATTCGGCCCACATTTAACACTTTCACACGCATCTGAAAGCATTATAATCCCGTGTAAGTAATTAACTTAAATTTTAATACATGAATCGTAATTTATCGATGTAAGATAAATTAATTAGGTACTGTAACATAATAGATCTTTTACTTGGACCCAAAAGTATAAGAATACTATTACAATAATGTATCTGTTCACATACAAATAACATGCTATATATGTACTATTATGACTATCACTAACCTGTGCACTTGCGAGTACCATCGATGACAGTGCATCTACTAACTGCCGGACAATCTCTATTAAATCTACACTCCTCAGCCTTTCGGCATTCCTCCTCGTATGGATTGCCAACTGTTCCAGTGGGACAAATACACTGTGCTCCGTTTCTACTATTTCGACATTCCGCTCCATTCCCGCAAGGATTTGATGCGCACCAATTTATTTTTTCACAACCTTTTTGGGGATCACCTGTATACCCAGGTTGACAATAGCATGTATGAGTGTGTTTCTCAGAGGAGCAAACAGTATTTTCTCCACAATTATTTTGCACTAAACAAGCAATTTTGCACATATTTTCATCACAAATCTTATCATCGGAGCACTCGGAATTGGAGTCACATTGTTTTCTTTTACACCCTTGTATAGGGTCACCGAAGTATCCCTCTTTACATGAACATGTAGGTTCATGTGTCTTGCCAAGGCAAATGGCGTGTCTTCCGCATGGATGGTTTTCACACACATTTATACATCGAGCTATTCCATCTGTAGTTATAATACATTGTTCATCCTCATTACAATTTTCATTGGAATAACATTGAACCTCTTTTGAACAGATTCTATTCAAACAGAATTGAAATTCCGGGCATGTACTATTTGTCGTACAAGTCATTCGACAAGTGTCTTGTATACACACTTGATTATCTAGACACTCTCTTGAATTTTTGCAAATCCCTGAAAATGATGTAAAGTAAAATTTATTTTTTAATACCATTAAATTACTTCAAAAACTTTATATATACTTACCAATGCATAAATTATCAATACATTTAGTCCCAGTAGAACATTTACTGTCATCAGCACAATATTGTATTGGAACGCAACCGAGAACGGGGTCACCTGTATATCCAGATGAACAAGTGCAGTGACCTATATGGTTTCTTGAATAACAATCGGCATTTTTACCACATGCCCGTGGGATACTACAGGAATCTTTACATTTGTAATTAACACATGCCTCTTCAAATGCGCAGTCTTCGTCTTTAATACACTCAAATTTGGTGCATTTATTGTAAGGATCACCTTCACTATTTGACTGGCACTCACATATAGCTTCATGTTTTACCACAGCACAAACTGCATTTTCACCACATGGTGAATCGTTACATGGATCTATGCAGTGATTGTTAAAGCATTTTGTCTTTTCAGAACAATCATTATCGGTTGAACATTCTCCAGGTATTTTACAAAGGGCATTATTGAGATCGAGTACTGTGCCATTGGTACAAATACATTTAAAAGAACCATAATTATTTTCGCAAGCGGCATTAAGGGGACATGGATTATTATTACATTCGTCAACATCTTTACATGCGCCATTTCTTAACTCAAATCCAGCTTCACATATACACATATCTTTATGTTCTTCAATTACGCATTTTCCGCCTACACAGGAAGGGTCATCACATTTATCTGTAAAATATAATGAAAAAAAGTGTTTTAAATAGAAACCCTGTATAACATAGTATAAAATAAATATAACAAACTCTTACATACCAGTGCATTTGTTGTTGTTCTCGTTGCACTTTTTATCGCTGGGACAGTCGAAGTCATCTACGCATTCTACTTTAAAGCATCCTATCTTTTTATCAAATGGATTACCTAAATATCCTTTTTCACAGGCACAGAACATGCGATGCTTGTTAACTGAACAAACTGCATTTATGCCACACGAGCTGGTGTTACAAGGATTGGAGCATTTTCCTTTTATACAAGCAAGAGACTGATCACATTGTAAATCTCGTCTACATTGATTTGGTACCAAGCAACCACTTTTATAAGGATCTCCTATAGCTCCAATTGGACACACGCATTTGAACGAACCATGATAGTCAAGACATTGTGCTGAAGGATGGCAAGGATTATTAATGCATTCATTTATGTTGATACATTCACTGTTAACTAATTTGAATCCAGTTAAACATGTGCACTGATTAAGCTCGCAAACTTGATTACTCAGACAGTCCGAATCAATTTTACAACCGGGTATACATATTCCAGAATTACAATGTTCGCCGTGTAAACAGTTGCTACTGGAATGGCATATTTTGTGGCAAATATTATCGCTGCACTTTTCTCCAATAGCGCATCCAGAATTATCTTGACAAGGCACTTGACACAAGTGGCCCATACACATGTGATCCGGTGGACAATTCGATGTTCGTGTACAAGTAGAAGACTTTCTAACACATCCTTGCTGTGGAGTTGGTGTACCCTCAAATCCAAGAGGGCACTCACATTTAACGCTGTGATTAATTCTTGAACAAATAGCATTTGGTCCACATATTCTTGTAGCAAGACAAGGATTTAAGCATTTATTGTTCACACATGCTTCATCGCCCATACAGTCATCATTACCCCTACATCCAATTATACATTGCCCTGCTACGCAGGCCTGACCGATACCGCACTCTGTGTGTCTGCCGCATTGGGTTATACATAAATTTTTGACGCATATATCACCCGGATCACAATGACTTGAGTTGCTGCACGCAGCAAAACATTGTCCATTATAGCACGTGTCGCCTTCACAATCATTTTCGTTACGACAAACTAACAATTTTTTCTTGCATGTATTGCTATTTTTTGACTTCTCGTAACCATCAACACAGGTACATATAGCCTTCCCGTCTACAATTTTACATACAGCATTGATACCGCAGGCTCCATCGCACAGATTAACACAACGATTATTTACACAGGACGCTTCAGGTGGGCAGTCTTTATTCCCATTAACACATTCACTTTGTTTTTTGCAACCTGTTGTCTTCGGGTCTCCAAACAAACCTTCAGGACATTTACAGATGAACGTTGACTGCCGTGAATCGCAGATAGCAGTTGGGTGGCAAGGATTCGGATTACATAATTCTAATTTTCTACAGCTTACTTCAGGAATAGGTTCAGGTTTATACCCATTAGGGCACAAACAGCTAATTTTATGATCTTCTGCTATGCAAACAGCATTGTCCCCGCAAGACTCATTGGTACAAGCATTAACGCAAGTATGCGTCATACGATTGCATAATTCGTGTGATAAACAATCAGCATTGTAGATACAAGGAACTGATTGACAACCTGTTTCTAAATCATTAGGATTGCCGGTAAAAGGTCCTGATGGACATTGACATTTTGCAATATGATTGTTAGTAATACAAATTGCATTTGGACCACATACGATTTGCTGGCAAGCGGGTATACATTTATTTATATTGCCTATGTTTTTGCAAGTTTCACTTTCTCTGCATTGCGCATCGTTGGAACATTGGTTTTTATTGAATTCGGTGCATCCGTCACGATTGTTTGGATTACCCAAAAAACCATCTAAACATTGACATTGCGTTTTGTGATTCTTTGTGATACATTTTGAATTTGGAGGACATGAAAATATAAGGCAATTGTCAACACACTTTCTGACTCCGAGGACATCTTTCTGACAAGATTTATTATCTTCACAATCATTGTCCTCATGGCAATTAGGAGTAGAAGGTTGCTCACAGCTTGAAGTAACTGGATTCCATAAATAACCATTTTTACAATCGCAACGTGCACTGTTATTTAACACTTTACAAACTTCATCAGCACTACAAGCCACTGTGGTGCATAAATCGGTACATTTCATAGTACCATCAATAGCTATGCAAATTTGCGGTTCATTGCAATCGGCATTAACATTACACTCAACTTCATTTGGTTCTTGTGGTAAATGGCAACCAGATTTGATATCATTAGGCTTTCCTATATAGCCCTCAGTACAAATACAATGAGCCTGATGGTTTGCGCTAACGCATAGAGAATTTGGTCCACACTGTAATTTACTACAAGAGTCAACACATTTTCGTATATTTTTACTTATTTGTAAGCAAATTTCATTGTCATGGCAGTCCCCATCTGATACACATGTATTGTCAAAATTGCAGCCCTGGTGAAAGTCATTTGGATTACCGTTATATCCAGGTAGACAAACACATTGACCTTCATCGCAAACAGCATTGCGCCCACAAACCATTTTTCGACATTTATCCATACATATAGATTTTTCGCAATAATAACCTTCTGGGCAGGTACTGTTTTGAGAACACGAACAAACTGTCCCGTCAGCACATTTTGAAATAGAAACTTGTGTACATAGTTCATACGGATTACCGAAATATCGGCTTTTGCAAATGCAACTGAAGCTTCCTGGGGTATTTATACAGATGGCATTCTCAGCGCATGGCTTAGCATTACATTCATCAATGTCAATACACTGTAAATTTGGGTTACCAATATACCCTGGTGGACAAAGGCACTCTATATGTGATTTAGTTTGTTGACATACGGCATTAAGCCCACAAGAAGTTTTTGCACAAGTGATTTGCTTTCTTGGTAAGCATTTTGAATATGGGTTTCCTGTATATCCTTTATCACATTTACAAGTATTCGTTGGACCATAAACGCAATGAGCATTATCAGCGCAGCCAGGATAGCAATCTGGAGGGGCAACCGCTGTAAACAAATTCCATCATTGATTTATTGTTATATTGAAACTTAATATTCGTTTACTTATATAATTTACTTACGTGGCATGCACAACAAATCAGGATTTCCGACAAAAAATGCATTACAAACACATCGACCACTCTGTTCGTCACATGAAGCACCTACACCACACACAACATTTTCACATCGTTGGCGACATCTACCAGCTAAGCATGTAAGTGGCTCCTCACAAGGCACCCCAGGACCACACACATCTTGTCTACAAGCACCACCGGGGAAGGGGTTTCCGACCATACCCTCAGGACACACACATGTTGGACCATTTTTGGATATTATACATTGAGCAGCCGTAGCACAAGAATAATTGTCGCAACCTTAAATCAACATGTAAGAATTTTTAATTTTAATTTTAAAATCGATTATTTAACATTTGATTATTGTAAATACACATTACCAGAAATGCATTTTCCCTCTTCGGGTTTGGTGTATCCAGGATTACAACGACACCACGCTGCATGATTTTCAACTTCGCAGAAAGCATTTGGTCCGCACGTTACGCTTGTGCAGGGTGAGATGCAAGTACGATTTACACAAGCCAGATTATTAGGGCATTCGTTATCAGAGCTACACAATTGCTTTTGTGATGGGCCAATACCCAGTGAACCTTAAAATTAAAATCATATATAATTAAATTAAACTTATCACGTGCTATGCGGTGAAGGAAAACATCGTGAGGAAACCTGCATATTCTTAGAAATAATAACAAAAAAAATATATTTCAAAGATATGATAAGTCCGCCAATAGACAGCGGGGCCGCGTGGTGGACTATGCCCTGATACCCTCTGTATAGAAGAGGCCTTTGCCCAGCAGTGGGACATATATAGGCTTTTTATAATTAAATTGAAAAAAAATATTATTTTATTTTTTTAATACTTACATCCAGTTTTGTATGGATCTCCTACCATTCCTTGCGGACAAACACATTGATATCCTCCTTTTTGATCATGACAGATTGCCCCATAAGCACACGGAGAACTATGACACTCATTTCTATTTGTACAACCAGTATAGGGATCACCTTCATAGCCGGTCATGCACATGCACCTTGGTGGATCACTAGGTGTACATTTTGCGTTAATACCACACACAAATCTTTCACATGGACTTTTACATTTCTGCCCATCTGTAACATCTAAGTAAAATGGTGGAGGGCAAACACATCTACCTGGTTGTATACACTTTTCATTTGAAAAGCAATCAGAATCGCTCATACATTGCTTTTGGTTTAAAGTACAATGTCCAGATATTGAATCTTTACTATAGCCATTGGGACATTTACACGTGAATGAGCCAATAGTGTTAATGCATTCTGCCCCAAAACCACAAACTGGTTGTCCAGAAGAACATTCATTGACATCTGCACAGTCGCCATTGCTGGATTGAGAAAAACCAGATGGACAGGCACAGTAACTTACAGTTTCTGAAATAATTATGCACTCTGCTCCATTACCACATGTGTTTCCTTTAGCACAATCTGAGAGCACGCAATTTCCATCGACAATTTTATATGGAGGGTGACATTGACAGCTGATGTCGCTACATAATTCACATAGAGTGTATGGATTACCACTATATTCTGAAGGACATTTGCATTCATAGCTTCCAGGCAGGTTTTTACAAATAGCATTAAATCCACAAGGGGAGCGACCATACAAAATACATTCATTGACATCTTCACATAATCCTAATTCTTTATTGCGTGTAAAACCTTGCGAACAAATACAAACATTTTCACCATCGTGAACTACACATTGCTCGCCTTGAGGACAAGGATTTGTAGTACTACATTCGGTTGGTTGTTTACTTGAAACACATCCATCAACATAAGGGTCGCCGCTGAAGCTACCAGGGCATTCACATTGGAAATGTCCCGGAAGATTTTTACAAACTGCTCCAAGTGCACATGGATTAGCATCACATTCGTTTATATCTTGACAACCATTGTGCGATGTTGGTTCTCCCGTAAATCCATTTCGGCAAGTGCATTGAGCAATTTGATCACTTAATAAACATTCGGAATTACTTCCACATTGTAAAGCTTCACAAGGATCTGTAAAATTTTATTAATTAGAATAATATATAATTCAATAGTTTACATAAACAATAAACTAATCAATACCAAAAATACTTACGGCGGCAATCATTTCCGACATTTGGATCAGGGCAGACGCATCTTGCATTTGAATCGCAAAGGGCGTTTCCAGGACAATCATTATCATTTTTACAGGTAAGAATTTCTGAACATCGTACGTGCGGATCTGGATCAGAAATAGTGCCATCGGGGCATTCACAAGTATATGAACCCTCTTTATTTAAACATTCTGCATTAGTTCCACATGCATCTTCCATTTGACACTCATCAATATCTAAACATTCTTTATAAGCATCTCCAGAAAATCCATCGGGGCACTGACATGCGAAACTTCCTAATGTATTTGAACAGTGCGCATTTTCTCCACAACGTCCTACCGGGCCCTGAGATATATCGCATTCATCGATATCGACACAACCAGCAGCTATATCAGTTGGTATATAAGTCCAACCTTCTTCACATACACAATAAGCTTCGATGCCGCTAGGCTTACAATATGAATGCTCTCCACATTTAACATCTTCACATGGGGCACGACAAGCTATTGTTGGAGGAGTACCTACAAAACCGTTTGCGCACTCACATTTATAGCCACCAAGAGTATTGATGCACAAACTATTGTCTCCACAAATTGAAGAATTGGAGCATTCGTCAATATCAACACATACGGCTCCTATTGCATTGAATCCTTCCTTGCAGAAACATTGATGTTCAATACATACAGCATTGTTTATGCAATCAAAGTTAGATTTACATAATATGTTTACGTCCACCTGCAAAACCGGTAATTTAGTTATTACAATAAAATTAGAGATAACTTTATTTAATGACGTCATGAAATGTATTTACCTGTTCACATGCGATTTTTGCATCTGGCTTGCCTCTAAAACCTTGTGGGCATATACAGTTGTACCCCGGTGAAGTGTTTTCGCAAATTGCATGAAGACCACAAGCACGCTCAAGGACTGTGCACTCATCCACATCACTGCAACCATTGTGCGAGCGTGCATCGCCCGTGTATTCAGGTTCACATGTACATACGAAGCTTCCGATCGTATTCGTACATTCGGCGTGCGCGCCGCATACTTTCTCGCTATTCTTACACTCATCCACGTCTGGTATAACAAACAACTTACGTCTTATTATCAGCAACCTCGGTGATTAAAAACAGATACGTACGTATTATGTACTCCAACAGCCACTACGAAGGGAAAGAGAGAGACAGCCACAACAACGATTAGATGAAAGGAAGATGGAAATTACAATGAAGACAAGAAGAAGATGCTGTAGGACACAACATTTCCTACTTAAAACAGCGAGACGTTTCAGAGTGCTGCTGTAAACTTAAGCATCACATGTCACCGAGTCCGTTGAATGTCGAACTTTGCTGGGGTATATGAAATCAACCTGAAATTTCTTTTGAGTACATTGTCGAAAAATATTTTAAGATTTTTTTAGTTAGTAAAAGCGTGAAGCTACCGCTTGACTTGATGCGGTAGTATCAGCATAATTAGTTAAACGCATTTATTAGAAATCATCAAGCATTAGACCACATACACGAAAAAAAAAAGCATGAGAAACAGAGATTAAAACACATATGGCTTACCAATACATTCGATATCAGGATTGCCATGGAAACCTGGTGGGCACAAACAGCGATGGGCGCCGGGTAGATTTTCACAAAGAGCGTCGCGACCGCAAGAAGCACGTGCACATTCATCAAGGTCATGGCAGCCGATGCGTGGATCACCTTCATATCCTTGTTGGCAGCTACATTCATATCCGCCCGCTATGTTACGGCAGATGGCGTTTGTTCCACAAGTCTCCTTGTTTTCACATTCGTCCACGTCCATGCACTAGAATATAACCATGTAAAATTTACCACGACACCATCATTACAAAAAAAATACCACTCATAAAAACTTTTTAATTGACATAAATGACCGTATACTCTAACACTTTTTCGGTTAAAAACAAACAAAATATTTTTCGTCTCTCGATACCAGTTTTCGAGTAATGTGAGACTGTTATGAATTTTTAACATAAGATGATAAATGTTTGTCAGATGCTACTACATACCCCATCAAATGGATTTCCGGTATAACCAGCTTCACATGCGCATGTGTAATTGCCAGGGTAGTTATGACACAACGTATTGGCCCCGCAAGCTCCAGGCCGGCGACATTCGTCGATGTCTAGTGAAAATAAAGAGATATTTTTACAACACTTTCATCCTAAAAACAGTTTCGCACTTTCAATGACATTTCCCGTTAGATAAAAAAATTAATCATAATTATTTTGAACCCACTATTCGGATCCCCATTTGTATTTCAATTATTAAATTGGCGTAGATATTTTAACATCCATTAATTGTGCCGCGAAAATACAAAAAATCGTTGGGATAAGAATATCTTAGGTATCGAAATTAAAGACGAAACAATAATGTATCACCTCGACATTCCTCTTCACCATCTCCTTCAAAGCCACGATTACACTTGCAGATGAAGTGAGCTGGTAGATTACAACATTCAGCATTTTCGACACATCTTGATGATATAGTCGGATCTTCACATTCATTTATATCTTGAATAAAAATGTTTTTGTCAACAATGTTTTTTGTACATACAACAGGAAAATTTATAGTATTTAGGAAAGATATGTTTCTTGTAATCAATCAACACACAAACAAACCAAAAAATCGTACTAACCTCTGCAAGTAAATCCATCACCTTCATAGCCCGGAAAACAAGAGCACTGAAAGCTGCCTACGGTGTTGGTACAGTGTGCAAAGACGTCACAGGGTCGGTCCTTACATTCGTTTACATCTGTAAAATAATACAGGAAAGACAAATTAAGTATATAGTACAGCAATCTTATGAATAGAATCAAAAGTAAAGTAAAATAAGTAAATACTAACATACTTATAATACCATATATTATTAATATTAGTACTATGTATACAAAATGAGATTTTGTTTGCCGTGCATATAAAACAAATGAAATACTGCGCCAGCACTGGGTAGGGACGATGGGACTTCTGAGGTTTAGTGGAATAAGCCAAGAAAGAGAGGCCGTTATAGAGTAATATATTATTTATATTACATACAAATATACCATCAAATGAAATAGAAAAACGTTTTCAACCTAGCGTTCTAAATTATGTAATACCTCTTACATATAATACTAAATTAATTATTGTTTGGTGTTTCTATATACGAATTGTCTTGGGTATAAATGTCAGTGGCATCTAGAGATATTGTAGTACATATATAATCATTCACGGTAACGAATTTAACCCGACTAAAGTGCAAAAATAATGTTTATTGTTTTTCAAAATTCTTTCGTCCATTAATATCTTACTCATACGCGCCCGGCTTTCGGCGAGCTATTGCGATATAACGTTCGTCAAGGGCAAATATTTTCCATTTCCACAATTATAAATATATAAATAAAGTAAAGGACCTTAAGTCAATAAATCTGAGTATATCAAAAATTTGCCTACCGGGTTCTTGACAATTACAGCCGCCGAAACCATCGTTGCAATGGCACACACCGTTTAGACAGGCACCGTTCACACAACGTGCGCCATCTTCTTTGGTACAGTCATCTAAAATATATGCAAATACATAAATAAACACGGATTAATTATTATACTTAACATATTATTACCTAAAAATATGTTCTTGTAATTTATTTATCATTATTTGAAAGATTTGTTTATCATTATTTATCCTTTAAATTCGGTTTCATATTTGGTGTCAGTCTTTTTTTTTTTTTGTTTTAAAATTTGACGAAATCGAAAGTAATTCCTCTGTCGCAGGAGGTTTCACGGACATGAAAAGAGAAGACCTTAAGACCAAATACACTCAGACTCGAAACGATCATATCCGGAACATACCAATGTTTGTCCTATTTGGAGATCGTACTCACAACAAGACGATGTCAAGGTCATGGGTCCGATCCCAATGCCCGTACCTATGCCTGCCCGACCACTAGACCTGGCGTTCGCAACACAGCTGACAATAGAGATTGGCAAAGTGGCCAACCTAAACCTTTGAACTGCAGTCATTCCGTGTAGTGAATAGAAGTTCTATATTTTAATAAATTTTATCCAGTTTGTACTTACAAATACTCTGCATAATTAAATTAAGCTATTATTCTAAATATTTTACGTCTCCAACCAAAAAAAACCTTACCAGTGCATTTTAACTCTGATCTCAGTTCATCGGATGCTTTGTAGCAATCTGGGACGCCATCGCACAATTTTGATAGTTCATACAATTGTAATATTTGAGTTGATTCATTTACTTGGCAACCAAAATAGCCGTCTTCTAAATTTAAGAAAAATACTTCTCGTTTTATGCCTAAACCTATTCCATACTGGCTTTGCGTCGCTACCTGTAAATTAATTATATTATTACAACGTAACTTGACGTGATTAATATATATTTTATAAAACGATACCTATGTTTTAGATAATTTCTAGTCATAATAAAATTTCTTATTAAATAATTAAAAAAATATTTACATTTGTTGCTAAGACTATGAACGTCCAAACCACGAGCGGCAAGTTGGTTATATGCATTGTCTCTGAAACAAAAAGAAGAAGATATTTTTAAACAAGATTACCATTTATTTTTCAATTCATAAAAACCTTTCCAAACCATCAACAAATAAAACACCGATATCAGTAGCAGTTTCAACTTACACTCTTCGGCTACTATGGAATCTTAAGATTTAGCGTTTAAAAGTTTAAGCAACCACAGTAAAGTATATTATTCAAATACATACTTTATTATTTTCTACAGCCATGATTGCATAGTTATATTATCAAATATAATTATGCTCTCATGTTTATAGGTCAACTTACTTACAATTAAATTTGTTTATTATTATTTGGATTTCCATTATGAGTATGAGTATGAGTTTTTTGCCATAGTTGCCACGTCGGGCATGCGGGCCAGACACCTCGCACCTTTAACGATGCTACCCGTTATGGGCTTGGATATTTAAGGTCTGGAGAGTCGAGATGGTTGGTTATCCCTCCATCTAAGGCCGGGATAATCATGCTTCGTAGCGGTTTTTAGGGGAGGTCTATGTTCAGCACTGGAGTCAAAAAGGCTGAAATGATAATAATTATCATTTATTAACAGTTTAAGCAGAGACCCGTCTTGGTCCACTAATTACAATTAAAGGTGAGAGCTTGTTTAATAACATTCAGTGTACAAAACAATTCTGTAATTATTTACAGCCCGCCTGTTTCGTTACCTCGCAATCAATATTAAGTACAATTTATTCAATAACAAGATTTATTTATATAAGACTACAAACTGATTCACCTTTAAAATATACATTCAAGGTTTTAAACAAAGAAGACATTTTTATTCAACTCGTACATATGATTCCAATCTTCTTAAGAACTAACAATGCCATAAATACTTCAAGCATAAATACTTAAACTACGCGTTTTTAGAATGTGAAAGCAGACAAAATTTAAATCTTTCCTATTATTTTTCTTTTATTATTCACTAAGATTAGTATTATATATGTTAAACAAAAATATGACAATAGTGTTGTTATCAAGAAAGTTTGACGTCAATAACTTTCAAGCGATTATTAAAGTATCCGTTTATTTCATGCACCGTAACAAAGGCGAAGGTTGCCCAGCGAGGTCAGGTAACTGTGCGAGCGGGTGACTTGGTCTCGTTATATTAACACATAGACCAAATTTAAATACGAATCGCCCGCAAACCTTTTTTAGTTCAAGCCGCGAAGACACCAATTCTATTTTCACGTAGTTCAACGTTTACTTAATGGGCATTTAAATTTAATGGCATGACTAGTTAGGCGTTCTGTGTGTTATAACAGGCACATAAGTGCAGTAAATCATGGGTAACTAAGCAAAGTTATTTAAAACTTTGAAAGATAATAGTTTTAATCACGTATTCCGCATTTGATTGTGGAGATTTAAACATGTTATCTAGAACAATGGAATTAAAGGACTCAAATTCAATATTGAAAATTAATTACAATTTTAAAAACTTGATCTCTTAAGAAATAAGTTGGAAGTCTGATACTTGTTTGATGTAAATGTGAAATTTTAATGTATATCATCATCAAGTATACAGTAAAGATAAGAGAGTAAGGGTAAGATTACAGTTTTAATTCTTTAACAATTTTTATAGGTGAAATAAGCGAAAATAAAAAACTCAACGGTTGTTTTCATGCACAGAACTTTTTTTCTTAATGCCATGTTTAGTCCTACTTACTCAAAAACATTGTTGCCGAATCACCCTTGACATCATATTGCGTGTGTAGGAGTTCGTGACCAATAATTCTATTTTTATTACCACTTCTTCGTAAGAACTTTGTTAGAATGTAAGTTTCACATCGAAAACTTAACTTTTGGTCCACATGTTTACCTAATATATAATTTTTATATACCAAGTTATACTTTTAAGAAACTTAAGCTAGGAACTAAACAGTTCAATATTAGAAGTCTTACTAAATGAAACTATGTTTACGGATTTATCGCGTTTATTTTTAAAAAACATAGATTCATTTAGTAATGTAATCGAGTAAATACAAGAAATTATTAGAAGTTTTATATAGATAAATCGTGAAATGTTTTCAAAAAACGATATTTAAGTTATATTTTCAAAGTGGCAGGGCCACGCAACAATCTTCGCTGTTGTACGAATAGGCAGGTCCGTCCGGGTAAGTACCACGACTTCACAGAAGACTTTACATCTGGTGAGTTTAACGCATCTGCAACCCTACGGACGTGCCAAATTCAATGGGCGGCGGTTATCACTTAACATCAGGTAAACCGCCAGCTCCGCTTGCACAAAAAAAACTCACATAAAAAAAATAATTAGAAATTTTTATTTTTTCATAACAAATTTTTGACAGGATATGTTGGATGAAAATTTGAGCAAAATTTAACTAAATTCGTTTCCAAAGTTTGTAAATTCGCTGATGCTCGCTCAACTCTTTGTACAAAGGATACGAACGCTAGTCGGAAGTACCCAAAAGTACTGACTTTTTTTATATTGATTACGTTAATTTGCGTTTCTTTTCGATAAGTGAAGAAATGTACAACTTTGTTACCAATAGAGCAATGACATTCAAGCTAAAAATCAATTTCAATGGAATGGTGGTGTGCATTATACTCATTACCATCAGCCACCATAACGTACACAAGCTTACGTCACGGTAGCTGCAGGCGGACATGTGTGCTCGCGTGTACGAAACTAATCGGACGTAAAATACGTCCGCGCGCGATCGCTTGCGCCATTCACTTTCACGTCTCGCGTCGCTAGCGTATCGCTCGTACCGAAAGTGGGCTGCAAATAATACCTTCGCACCGGTTTCTCTCTTGAGAAATAATCCAACATCACCCATTGTATCAAGCAGCATGACTCCGCTGCCGTTTCAAGGGGTAAAAGGTTGGCCCATCACGTGATCGGTTATAATATACATTCCGAGAAATATATGCTATTTAAATAGTTGTCGTTGTCGATAATCAAACACGTCGATGTATTTAACATTTACCCATATGTTTATACAAGTGAGTCATCGTAAGCGGATAGAATTAGTTTAAGCAAAGGTGGTTAATAGAATCACGAAATACCACTTGTAGTCAATTGGCTTCCCATGTCAAGGTGGATCTTAGAAATCAATTCTTGCAAATATCAATGTGAAGGCTCGATCTTTAAATTATTTTGAAATTCCATCTCTTTTATGTACAAAAACTAAATATTTTACTATCTTTAAAAGAATATAAGTCAGAATATAAGTCCCCGTCGTATATAATCGTCGTTTACGTGATCGTTTTTTTTTTTTAATTACAATTATATTATAAAAATGTGTTCTTTTTGTGTCCCCTAAGAAGAACTCTTATTGCGATGACATTTTGACGGACTGCTGTAAGCCACGCGATCAAAGGTTGTGAGTTGATGAAAAATTAAAAGTAATGATATTTACCGTTCAAGCATAAGACCAAATATATATGCTATTCGTTCTATAAACCAACTTGTTTACTTAAGAAACCTGTTTGCCAACCTTGGTTAAAAATAAATTTAAGTTAAAGAAACAAATCAAATACTCCTCAATCTCAAACATTCCGAGGTTCTACAAATCTTAATATTCGGTTATCTAATTGACACCTTGAGATATAGAATTATGATATTTATTCAGTCCAAATTCATACGATTAAAACAAATTTATTTGCCAACGCGGTCGATAGATTTATTGTATTATTAAGTTGAAGTTAATCAGCTTCAATTTCGGAAATACGTACATACAAAACATGAAAGTTTAACTTTAATGATCGTTATGAAGTTGGTACATTGGTATAATTTCAAACGGTACTAATAGTAGCGTTAGCGGTACAATAGAACGATACATTCCATAGAAGCAGTGTGTTGTGAACACTCCAAGTAATAGGTTCTGTACCAAATTAGTTTACCTCAGCCCACATTTGGGTTTATAGAATCTAGTTGTGAACTAAACAAACTTTGCACACGAAGCAAACATGATGTATGGACATTTAGTTAAAAAAGTAAAATTAATCTAATTGTTTTATAATTCGCAAAGCAAGCATATAAAATAGTTAAAATAAAATAAAATAAAAATACACTTCATCAAACTATTAAAAACCTTATAGTAAATTATTATTTTATTTTTAGAGACGCAATTCCTGTACAAAATCTTCCGGTTTCTAATTAGATTAAGCCATAAGCTTAAATAAAAAAGCCTTTTGTTTTACACTAACTGTCTTTTGTTAATAGTTTAATTTTACACAAAATACATCAATAAAATAAAACAAAATACAAAATTTATTTAACATTCTACGAAGATGAAGCGTAGTACTTCACAGGACGAGTTTGCTCATTAGCACAACAACAAAAGTTGTTGACTCTAACATACGATCTAAGAATGTTCTAGAATCTATTAGAATATTCAAGGAAATGTAAAGTATAATCCATTGACTTTGATTTGAAATCATTTAAATAAATGGATAAAATAAAATTTATCCGTTCATACGGGTTGTGGCTTAATGCTTGAGTAGATAAAAACATTGAGTTCAAAGTGTCGTCGCGCATGGTTGATAGAAGACCGCTTGAGTGGCATTTACCTCGAATACTTCCGTGTTTCGTTCATTCTAAGCTTGTAACAGTTTTTACAGAATAAAGAGTGTTGTATGTGTATCTAGCACGTAAAGTGCAATCATTCCAAATAATGTTTACATAAAGAAAAACGTAGAAACTATCACTTTTTATAGAATATAGTAGGAATTGATTAGGAATTAATAGTTAATTTCAAAAGGCAAACTAAGAAAGAGAAACTAAGAGAAAGTAATATAATTCAATCTTTAATAGATCTTTTTATCAAATGGATGCTTATTTCAGTTGACAAATCCGCATTGCATCATATAGATCCTTAAATCCAAAAAGTTGAACGTTCAGTTATATTTATACTTTACAGTTTTATTTATATATTTTTCAGTTATAATATTTCGAGCTATAATTATATGAAATAATATGCGTAAAATGGAATTATTTATGTTTCTTTGTTGACCGTGAGTC